TGTGTGTGTGTGTGTGTGTGTGTGTGTGTGTGTGTGTGTGTGTGTGTACCTGGATCAGTACAGCAGAGTGTGTGAGGGCGTTGTTGAGCATGGTCAGCACGTTGGATGAAGGTACGACTCCGGGGTCGTGACCCCAGGAGGTGATCAACAACCTGTCGTAGGACTGGATGGAGAGAAAAAACGGGTCACGGAAATTACTTTTCCACAGCTGCTAATCACTGAACCCAACGGCATCATGGGAGTACAGCTCATCACTCACCATACTGAGGTGAGTGATTACTAATAATGATAAGAAGGCTTTTCATATATTATTTAATATTTTATGTATTATTTCATATAACACTTAAAAGACTACCTCTGTCCTCTACAATGGTGGGAACATTTACTACATCATCTCAGTCAAAAACAAAGAAGGAAAGGAAACATCACTCCTCCATTCATCAACTTGTTGACGTTTCACTACGTCAAATAATGAAATCTCCACCCTGAGACTGATTTTACATGTCATGATGGCTTTCCCTAACTGAGACAGATCTTTTCCATGAAATAAAGGTGTTAATTCTTCTCTGTTTAGTTGATTATTTTCAGCTCTGAAAAGTGGTGAAGGAGGAAATCCTACAGTTAAGTTTACAGAGGACAATTGTGGTCAGAAGAACAATATGCATGTGTAGGAGCAGCATGCATGCTGCCATCAATATCCACCAGCATAAGTCCTAAACCTTACCCTACATTTAACCATGTGGGCTATTTGTAACAGGCACCTAGGCAATGACGTTCTGTATTTACATGCACTCTCTTTTTAGCTTTTTCTGAATATCCACCCGGTGTTATCTGCGGTGTAGCCAGAGGGTGAAGAAAAGTCACGTCAATTATAACCTGAAATCAATCAGTAATATCCTATTTCCCTTTTTTTAACAAATGTTGCAAGACCCTTTAGTTCTTAGATCTCAACAACTATAAAAAAAGATATGTTTATTTTCTTCTTTGAAAGAAACCACAAGTAGTTGTACTAATTGAGGTGTTTCCCTTCTGTGTCATGTGGGAGGCCTAATCCCAATCTGTAACTTTACCTCTCGGTGTTAATGTAATGGACATCGGGATTACAATTTCGCAAAAGTCCTCGTCAGACCATATAATTATTCAGATATAGTATGACTTTGATTTGAAACTTAGGTGCAAGCTACAACTAAAGGCTTCGTTTAATATTGTTTAGACAATAATGCAAAGGTCTTTAAACATACACTTGAACTTCCATCACTCTTAAAATTAATTAATTGAATAAGTGCTTAATTCTCAGCTACAAAGCAGGTGTGTAAATATAAACAGTGTAGGCAGCGAGGCTACTCTGAGGCCCATAGAGCATTCACAATACAATCATCTAAATAACTCATTCAACTGTAAAATCCAACACATCGTTGGTAAAATAAATATACGATTAACGGTGTGTGTGTGTGTGTGTTTAACTACTTACTTTATCCAATCCCATTTTAACTACCTTACGCCACTGCTACAAAGCTAGATGAAACATACAATACAGCATGTTAGGGAAAATAAGCAAAAATAAATAAATTTTATTTAACATTGAGGATTATTTTTAATGAATACTAATTGAAAAAGAAATGATCTAATTTAATTTAATTCACTCACCATTTCTAAAACGACAACTATTACAAAGACGGTTTTTGTATGTAAACACTCAATCAGCATAATCGGATGCATCAATTCTGAATATGGAAGAAACATAAAATGCCTGCAATACAAACCATCCACCACCTGATGTCCCTCAGACCACAGCGTTTATGTGAAGTGTAACACAGATTTCCTTTGTAGCTGTATCGCCCTCTGCTGTCCAACACAACGCTGCACATTTGTGAAAGTACATTTCACACCAGGTTTTAAATTCTGTTAAAGGATCAGTAAGCCAAAGTAAGAATGATGGTTTTATTATAATTTCTTTGATAAAAACAAACAGATCACAGTACAGCATGCATACATTCCTAACAGAGGTCTAAAATAAAACTGGTCAGATGTATGGTTTTACTGAACATGGCATCGTTATTGAACAGGCTGGTTAGGCTTTGTTAATTTGATAACTACCGTCACAAAACATACTATATGAGCGCATGTCTGTGTGTGTGCGAGAGAGTAAAAGTTTCTTGAAAGGGATAACACGTTCATAAAGCATATTCAATGACAGTTATAAACTTGCCTACATTCAATTAAATAGTGTTTTGTTTTACCCATTAGTCCATCTCACAAACAACCTTCAGCCATTCACACATATTTTCATTCATGAAGAACTCTGGGAAACGGCACTATGGACTCTCGCCCTCCAAGAGGTGAAAAACAAAGATTTTAATTATTATTAATTACACAAAAAAAACAAAATATATATATGAACAATAAATTGGTCCAATAAAAGTGCGATTTGTGATCTAGGAGAGTACTTTAACACTGAGGACTTTATAAACTATACAATAGAAATAAAATCTTATTACATGGACACAAACACAATAATAAAGTTTTCAGAGAAGAATTTCAAATGAAGAAACTCCAGAGGCAGAAATCTTAACATGGTAAAATTATAGTTCTACTTTATATTAAATTTAAATTTGCAACAATTAAGATTTACAACATTTACACATTCATAACCCTACATTTCTGTGCTTCTGTTGCCCAGCTTAATGGAAAGGGCAAGAAACAAAACCTTGGATTACCCTAAAAATGTCCCCCAGTGAGTTTATAACACATATGTACAATAGGTCCAGAACTACAAAAGGCATTTGAAGAAAGCAATTACATTTTGGCACCAGGCACAGAATTGAATTTACATTAAAACTACTAGCTAAACCCCCCCCCCAGAAAAATAATATGACTATTCTCACCCCAACGTGTCGTCCCTACAACACGAGAAAACAGTAAATATACATTAAACTGGCTATAAAATGAATGATGTTACATTTGGCATCATTGTTGCTGGAAGAATAAAAGAGGAGGGCAGGAGAGTGGTGGAGGTTTACCCCAACAGACCTGACAGGAAGATCTACAGTGCATTTCTGTCAAAAGACAATCTGTTGCTAATCCTGAGTGCTAGAAGTAAACAGGAACTGGAAACTATATTCAAAGCCACGGTTAGGAAGGGGCCTAAGATTACATATTATCACTGCAGCTTTTGGCTTTCTGGCTTTCTGGATCCCACTTTAATGTCAAATATACATTCTCTTACCTGGATCACAATTGCAACATCAGCAATTAATTGATGTCACTGATTTATTTATAGAAACATGGCTCTCCTTTGTTATCTGGCAGCTACCATACAGTCCTGACCAGTCATGACCAATCATAGCCTGCCAACTTTCCCTGAGACAGGGTAAGGTATAAGAACCTTCATAAACTTTGGGGCGGGGATGGACTTGCTTCATTGAAGGTTGTTTTTTTTGTTTTTTTCCCCTCATTGAACGACTCAGCTCTAGGAGAGGCGTGAAGAAAAGTGCAAAGGGCAGTCCCACCTCCTACACCTCATTGATGGTGCGCTCAGAAGGCCTGAAGTTGACCGAGTTAGACGACGACATGTAGAACGATTGGGTTTTGCGATTGAGACGGGCGCGTTTGGTGGCCGTGTACAGGCTGCGCTTGCTGGAGGTGATGATCTCCGTGATGAACTTTTTGCAGTCTACACAGATCTCCATGGTGACCCAGTTCTCAGTAAGCTCCTTGGGCAGCTCAGGCTCATCCTGCGACTGTCCATCTTTGCTGGTACTGCTGCCGCTTTGCTTCGACAACCTAAGGACAGAAAGAAATAATAGCTACTCTGACAAAGCATGACATTTCCTCAGTATATAAGAAGACATGGGAGTTCGACCGTAACATACTTGTAAGCACTTCTGCGTAGGCTGTTTCGGCTGTATCCAGACCCGAATGGGTGCCTTTCTGGCACAGCTGGGGCAGACGCTCCACTTGCCTCTTCTTTAGCCACAGTACTGGGGCCCAAAGAAAAGATGGGCAGGGTCGAGTAGGGCTTGGATGGCAGCCGCATCTGAGGTAAAAAAAAAATAGATTAAAAAAATGTTGTTTTTAATGACGTTTATGGAGGGGGAGGAAATTCTAAAGTATGTTTCATTTAAAATCAACAGCCGCCTACCTTTTTAGAGCACTGGGAACACACAGGCCTGGAGACAAAGACAAAAAATTGCTATTATGTTGAACATGAACAGAAGCATTCCTTAAAACATGCCTGAAGCAGAGATGAGAAGCAGGCTAAAGAGGTCTGGTAACCTCAATTCTTTATAACTCGACATCCCCCAAATTGTATTCATTTCCAAACTTCCCTCAGGAGCCATAAAAGGTTTCACATGTACAGTTGTACTCTGTCCTGACCCGCCGGATGGTTGACACAAAACCATCTGAGAAGTCGTCATTGGAACCAGTTTGGAAAAGTGCAGGCACTTCCAAAAAATACTTGGCAGGTGATTGGAAGAGCCATCTGTCAATCAAACTCTTACCAAAGCCAGTCGGAGGAAGCGCAAAAACATATTTTTCCTCAAGAAAAGCCGTGCCGTCCTTTGAGCTTCTTTAAATGAAGAAATACTCTCCAGTTCAGATATAACTATTGCAGCATCTATGCTAACCTCTTTAGGAGCCGCCATTGTTGTCTTAAACAGTTGCCTCTCTGTGTCATCTTGCACAAACCTAAGCCAAGCCCCTAGCTGCCAGTAGCTCCTCACAGGAAGCCGATTGTGTCTGGCAGGCCAGAGCACGGACCAAACGCTTTACTTGAAGCCTAACAAGATTCATTTTTGTGTGATTTTGATACCATGGTTCACACGACGACATCGCAAAAAACCTGCAGCCGTGCAAGGTAAGTAGCACTCCCCAATGCGTGTAAACATGCTTGGAGTTCCCCTGTAAGTTGAGTAGTTAGTGATTCAGTTTACCTTTTGCAGAACTGGCAGGTGTAGGACCAGGTAAAGAGAGAGAACCTCTTGGTCCGACATGAAAAGCAGACCTAGAGAGGAAAGTATGAGGCGAGTTGAAGACGGTACATGGAATCTGTTGTATGCAAATGATGACTGAGGAAAATGATCACTCCGACAATGTAAATCCTACATGTGGCGTCTACCTTTCCTTTCTTGAGGGCAGTGTAGATTTCTTTGTACTGCTGAAACTTCTCCAGCTCTGCCTTGACCAGAACCTGTCTGATGTGCATCACCTCCTCCACCGTCAGAGCCAGACACTCCACTGGGTAGCAGAACTCCTCCTGGAAGAAAAACGCACACAATCAAATCAGCAAACTAACCGTACATATGCAGATTTAGAAAAGGGTGCAACAGCGAGAAGTAATGGTATGTGCTGCCAATGAGACACCCGTTGCACACCACTTAACCAAAACACCAAGCATGCGATGAGATGGTGACAACACTGATCTTCTATGTTCTCTGTGAACCACAGATGAAGCTTCCACTGACATGACACTGTGACAATAAAGAGCATGCTGGTGATGTCACACGCCAGTCATGTTGGTGGTCCACAGCTTTTTGCTCTCAAATTACTTTCTTCAACTATTCAAAATCAGTCTTCTAAAATTAGAAAGTCATCCAGCTCAACGTGGAGAATTTTCATTTTTGCACCATAGGTTTACTTTACGACGGTTTTATAAGCATTTCAACACTTCCAATTTTGCATGTGGACCTCCATCACGGTGCATGCTGCGGTCGCCAGGAGATTTGTGACATAGCTGGGAGCCTATTCAACATATTCATCCATCTATTGAACGTCTGAACTCTACAGCGGAGCATCCAAAGCTAAAGCTCAGGGAAGTTATTCACCAATTATTTACTCTCACTCTCCTTCAGTTGGCTTAGATTAGAAAATGTGAGACTCCATTGAAAGCATTAACTGATTGTTTCTCTTTAAGCTTCCCCGAGGCGTTTTAAGTATGCCGCAGAACTCCCATTCACACAAACGGTCATGACACAAGGTGCCGTTCATCTAAAACAAGGCTATTGGAATACCCACACAGTGTTATGTGCCTTTAAAGATATGCAGTAACAGTGACATACCGTGCCCTGAGCACCGCTGGCGGCTTCCACCTGACCAGCAGAAAGAGGGAACAGGACTATAACACAGGTAGGACCTTATATTCCAACAAGCTATGCTGCAACTATGCTTAATACAATGCAACACATGATGTATCTGTTAGAGGATAGGAGAAGAGTTCAATGCAATGGCAGCATTCATAACTCATGACTGCAGGATCACAACTGATGACTAGGTCTGATGGTGCAGACCTACATCTTTTCACGATAAGGTGAGGGACACGAGGCTACAGTGACCACCAAAATAAAAATCACTTCACCCTCGAGTCCAACTGGACGTTTTTGCCAAATTTGAAGAATTTCCCTCCAGGCGTTGCTGAGATATCTCGTTCACCAGAATGGGACAAACACACAACCCGAAAACAAATTCTAAAATGTGTTGATGGTGATGGATAGAGAGAAGGTTTCCAGGTTACCTTGGCACTGGGATCCGCCATCAGCTGCAGCATTATATGAAACAGGAAATGACTGCAAGTAAGTCTTTGGTGTGAGACATTTTAATGAGATATAAAATGAGTAACAGAGAGGGAGGGGAACTGCAACAAAGATCTTCCTGTTTTACATCTACCAGAGAAACCCAACTCCTATGTGAAAGGCAAAGCATGCGCTTGAATTAAAAAAAAAAAAAAAGTGTAAATAAACATGGCTTCAGGTTGTGGAAATTACTCTTTAATTCATTAAATTGGTGACTAGAAAACTGTAATCGTGTGGCTTTTGATTACCTCCATCTGTCACAAAGAACTTTAATTATTCTCATTTTTAGAGACCAGGATGTAATCACTAACATGAAAGGCATAAAGTTAAAATGAGACAACTGTCCCCAGAAGAGCCGTCTCCTCCAGGGTTTTATCTGTCATTTCTTTTGATTTGATGATGGTTGAAACCAGGGCCTCTGGTTTGGCGCCAGAGGTCTGCACTTTAACTAGAAAGTAGTGAGAATGAACCAATTTCTTCTAAATCCCCTTCATACAGCAGCCTGTCCTGTGTTTTCAATTATATCCATCAACCTCACTAGAATCATACGACCGGCGTAGAGTTACTCAGAGAACAAGTGACCTCATGGAAAACGAATGACCGGTCATAGGACCGGAGTAAATTTGTGTCGTTGGTAGATTTAGAGTTCATTCAAATTGTAACGTCCATATGAGTTGTTCTAAAAACTCTGCAATTAACATGCATGTCTGCACTTTTTACTCTTTTAGCAAACTCTCCTTCTCATTTAGTTATATTTTATTATTAGTTTGACTGATAAGAGAATAATCTTAGTTATACCAATAAAGAATATAATTGACCATCTTAGATTAACCACCTTATACGAGTGTATTTGCAACTGGTTTAGTAAGATCTGTCACTCATGCAAGTCTTCTACTTTTGAGTATTCATTCATTTGTTCATTCATTCATCCAGGGGATTTAATGGATAATCCAACAGAGATAGCGTTCACGGTTGACATACCAAAGACTTGGAGCTCTGTCTGGATGGAGGTAGAAAGGGGGTGACATTGGTGGGGGCCTCCTTCTCGATTGAGTGCCGCCTCTGTGGAGACCGACGCTTGTCCGGCTGTGGGGTCGCAGACACAGGCAAGAACTTTGGAGGAACTGGACACGTGGGACAAAAAAAAAAAAAAAAAAAAAAAGTAAATTATAAAGACAACTTTATTTACATGTTTGTACTGATCAAAAAGCCGAATGTAATATATTCCAATATGTTCCAGGTAAGCGCTTACCCTTCTTACCTACGACAGGCTCAGGTGACATGTCCTCCGTCAAAGATGTGGACATACTGGAGCTGCTCTGTGTGGGCTCCTCCTGTCAACCAGAAGATTACACTCATTTAGTCACGAGACACTGATGCCTTTAAATTACTTTGAATGGCAAAAGAAAGTCCATTTAAGTTTTGCCTTTGTTCTTGTGGAAACACAGATACTATCATCAACATTTTTCAAGATGCTTAATTGAAACCCGATTAAGCATGTGATGATCATCTTATGAGCAGAGGCAATAAGAGTCAGACATCTTACGTCAGATTCGGAGCTGTCCAGCTCAGCCAGTGCGGGCGCTTTAAGCAGCCTCTTCATCTGGCTAAGGGGCTGGGCTCCACCTTGATTTGGTCCCAGCAGGGGGCCACTATCCAAAAGCTGGGTGCTGACAGCCAATTTCCTGGGTGCATCAGGAGTGTCTGCGGGTGAAAGATACGATTGAACTTTTATTACAAGTGAACAATAAATTCTCATGAATCATCTCCCCATCTTAACAGCTGGCCATCATGCCACCTGCGTCTTTGTATCGTTACTTCATGATACCACAGAGTCAGTATACACAGGCCACATGGTGACCAAGATGAGCCCCAAACATATGCTTAGATTTTCTCCTCAATCATTTCATTTAAATGAAGCAAACTGAAAATGTATTTCTTTACAAAGGCCCATAGACCACGCCACTGACTCTTCTTTACCTGAGCCGCGGAACAAGTCCTGAGGAGTGCTGATGCTTTTCCCTGCACCTGCAATGGAATATAACCATTAGCAGGACCCACACATATTCATATTTTCATTCCTGACACCATCCTAATACCACAGGGAGGACTACTTGACAGCAACAAGCAGCCGTCAGGTGTGAATTGAGGAGATGCTGTGTAGTTGCGGGCTACGCCACACATATGTTGTGCATAGCTGGAAAGCACAGAGGGAGCGGTAAGTGAAGGGGAAGTGCCAGGGGAAGCAGAGAAAGACAATGAGTGCAGCCACAGTGCAAAAGGTTATTCCCATACATCCATCTGGATTATGGTCTTCCTGCAACACTGTAGTGACACATTCAGACAGTCATCTGCAGTTCAACTTTTCACCAGCCTTACGCAATTTGTCATATTCCTCAGTGAGATCGGATTAGGGTGACAAACAGGGCAGACTGGCTGCAGGGGCAGAGTGATGATCTGTAATCTCACACTGCTGGCTCTGTCTCAATGGCTAGCCCTCATCACCTCGACCACAGATGGTCCCCTGCGAGTAACTACTATATCCGAGACACGCCGTCATTCATAACATGACTAAAAATAAAGTATGCCTGCGCTGAAGCTCTATGTTTATATTCTACCTCCCAGCAAGGACCAAGGTGACCATTTCCCCCAGTCTGAGATTCAGTTGCACTGTGTTGACCGATCTTTTCCCCAGGTACAGTACAGGTGACAGTAGTGCGTCATACAAACACACTTGTACAACACAAGCACGAAATAATAAAAAACAAAAAGAGGGTGCGTTTAAATCAAAAGGGAAGCAGGAGCTAACCTAGCTAGCCTGGAATGAAACACAAGGTGCAACTATAGGAACACAATAGGTGACGTGAAACTTTACCTGATGAGTCAAAGCTGTAAGACATGCTAAGAGGTCGCATGACTGACAGATGTGCCCATGTTTGAAATTAAGGAAATGGGAGCAAATGGGAGAAAAAGAAATCCACGAGAGAGTTAAAATGGATGGTTAATTCAATAAATAATCCAAGTTTATCACACATATTGCCTGAAAATCTAACATTACAGAGCCGTATTATGTTTAGGAACACCCTGTTTAGCCTCCCATATGTATAATTATGCAACCACTGATACACATTACCTTCCTAAATCCCCTTACAAAAGGTGTCTTGTGTAAACCGCATAGAAACGCTGTACGGTACAGACTGACAACATATTTGCTGTTTTTATCTGATTAAAACCTTAAATGGTTGAAACATATTATCCAATTACGACGGCCGCATACCAAAAGGATTATCTACCTCCATGCGCTGGTTACTTTTAGAAAAGTAACATCGAAGAGCAGTATTACTTACAGGTTCCACATTTTTAAGTTAAAACCAAAGAACTTGTGAGCTCAAGAGCACAATTGTCAGTAACCACAGCTGTTCCTTCAGCAGTTCAGGTCAGGCAAACAACTCCAGGCTCACAGCGGCAGTCAAAGTGATCCTTGTTCAAACACTGCGACTTCTGATTAAGTGAACAGATCAATGTGAGAAGAGCGCTGTTAGAGTAACCATGATGGATGTGGTCAAGTCCTGGTTAATGGTTTTTGTTCTGAGTGGTTGGGTTTGGCTCGTAAAGCAGTAAGTTAACAGACATTCGCTCACTGATTAGACACAATCAAGAGGTTTTTAAAACAAAAAGGTTTCGTTTGAACAGAATTTTGCACATTCAAATCCTATTAATGGTTATTTGTGCATGTATGCATGTAGACATTAGAATGTCAACGTGTGCAATTGTTAGCGGCTTACCTAGGCGGTTTCTGCGGATCATGTCGGGTGAGACCGGCCTGAGCTTCCTTTCAGATTTGATGTCATCCAGCAGTCGCTCGTGGAGGCTCCGGGGACGTGCCGGGTGGGGTTTCAGTTTACGGGCTGCAACCTTTCAGGACAACCACCACACCAAGTGAGTACTCGGCATAAGAACGCATGATTTGTAATTGCATTAAGTCAGTGGCTCTCAAAACAAAATTAAATAATGTATTCCCTTAGAAATATCTCTTCCCCCCCCAAACCAGCAGAAAACACTTTTCTTAAAAAAAATAAAAATAAAAAATAAATAAAAAATTAAAAAAAAAAAAAAAAGCTTTTGTTGCAGCACTTCAGAGTTTTCCGCAGTTTACAATTGCATTGATAATAGGAATCTTGAATATAAAACATGGTTTATCACATTATCTATATTACTTTAGGAATTATGCATGACTAATATTTTTTTAATTAACTTTAACAAATATATCATGTACCCCTTTAGTACTCCAAGGTACCCCTTGGGGTACCCCAATTTGACACACCCTGTCATGTACTGTGAATGCCAGTGTGCAAGTCAAACAACCGACATAAAATGTTGATTGCATAACCAGGTTGAATATAGATAATAATTATCACATGAGTCACTCTAAATGTTGCCAAACTGAATACTAGAAATACATCACATATCAATATTGTATACTGAGTATAGTAGACACTAAAACTGTGTCGATTACTGTCGTCATGTTGCGTTCTACTCACAGGGTTGAGAGGCGGTCTCGACCTGATGAAATCAAGAATGATGTCATGAGCACTCTTCTTTAACCTCGGTGGGATGTCTCCCTTCACCTGGAACGACATCGTTTCATTTTAATGACAATCATATACTAGCACTGAAGAGGTTGTATAAAGCTGCAGAGAGAAAATACCATTGCCACGTAAGAACATTAAGAAATGTGACCATTATTAACACAAACGAGTAAAACAAAAAACATCTCATTGTAACGCATACGTCTCAATTTATTCAAAACAAAGAGAAAAGGGCTAAATAAAAATACTTTTGTCTTACCGTGACTTTTCGCAGCTTGTAGCGTTGGGAGCGGATATCGTCCATCAGCATTTCGTACGGGGTGAGCTGGTATTCAATGGGTAACGGGTTATACCGACGCTCCTGAACCTTCTTCAATTTAACACCATCTCGTAGATCTCGCATCACCTGCACCCAGAACCGTGCCTGGTGGGGACCAAAAAAAAAAAAAAAAAAAAAAAAAAAAAAAAAAAAAAGATGCGACATGATAATTACTGCAGTCCATAAGTTATATGATTGCCAACACATGGTGACAGACTCAGAAAAAAAATTACTCTTACCCAATCTGCATTTTGCAGCTCATCGAGGTCTCCAACAGGTTCCTCCCGAGTCCCGCCTTCCATTTTCCGAAGGTTCTAGCCAAGAAAAGGAAAAGCAGAAAGGGGGGAGAAAATCCATGAAAATGTTTTCTGATGTCATCATATTCAAAAAGGTGTACCACTGCATTCATAGTATTGACGGAAATTAAGCTGAGGTCACCGACAAACTGTCAAAGCAGTCTGGTTAATTAATTAGTGGATTGATGTTTCACATAAGCACGTCGTTACCCGTCTCATCCTATATTGACAGTGTACCAGAGAAACCAATAGTCCGCTAATGGCTGCTGTTAATGTCTGCCTGCTGAATCCTCACTGCACAAGCTAGTTATTGAAAGTTGTGGGTGACTGTGTAAGGTTAAGGATTACTCTCCTTGTGGCAAGTCTAGATATTGTAAACAATTAACTCTGCTGTCACACTATTCTTTCAGTTGATTTGTTTTTCACTGAAGGCATGACTGTGCACCAAGTGAGGACACAGTAGCTGCCCACATTTGATTGATAGGGTGCTGTTCTAGTAGCTCCACCACCAAAAGAAATACAGCCTCTTTTAATTACCCCATGTCAAAGACAGTCAAATACTCTACTTCTATAATAAATAAAGAAAGCTAAATTAGGTTGTGGTTTATTAAAAGCTGTTGGATACATATAGGGTAGAATATCACTCTCAGATCAAAGAAAGAAAAGTCAACACGACTATTCATCCACACCTGTGTTCACTGCTGAAACACACTCCTTCTTACCAAGTCTAATCTTTTTAAACCATTTTCAAAGCATGACAACAACCTGTAGCTCACCGACACCTTTCACAACAAACAACGCTTTTGGTTTATTTCTAGATGGACAGAACAGACGTAGAAGTAGAAGCTGATACAAACGGCCAGAGAAGAGAGAAAAACCACAACAGTGAGATAAAGACTCCCCGACTAGCCTCCTAATTTGTGAGCACGTGTGATACTGTACGGTTACTTATTAGTAACTATCCAGTGACATTCAGTTCTACGGGGAGAGTAAAGCAGCCCCCATAGCCTGGGGGGTCCCCTCCTGTAAGCTCCTTACATTGCGGTAACAAGGTTAAACTTGATTCTATAACCACATATTACATGAGGTTGTTCGCATTACTCATGCCTCCTGCAGAAAACAGAGCCAGAAGATATTGCATGAGTGTGTAGACACTGAGGTCTGGGCGATGTAAAAAGTCAAGTGGCTACATCTTTTCCAAAATCTCAACACAATCAGGGAACACAAAGTTGTACTCGTAAGTGTAGAAGAATTAGGGCAAATGCTCCCCCAGCACATCTTGATGAACAGTTGGTAAATAGTCTAAAACACGTCGTCTCTAAGCTGCTTTATAGGGAATCCCTCAGTGTTCAGAGTCAATTACTCTAATACTAAGGAGGTCATAGTCTCAACCCTTCTGGTCCATTACCACTTTGGGAGCCGTTATGCTGTAATTGACACTTCTATTTTCTTTTCCCCATCATTAGACCCCACATGTTCGAAGTCAACCAATTGAATTATACGCAGTAAATCCACAGACAACAGCAGCAGAGTGGTAACCCCCCCCCCATGAACTAAAAGGATGGTACTTTCTCATGTCCTCTTATCTGTTCAATGTTTTGAGTATGACTCATGGACAACATTTTCCATCTTTGGATGAGTGGCAATTAATAGAAGCGAGTGTAGGCGTTACTCATCATTTCTGAAATGGGTTTTAGGTGACTTCTTCATATGCAAGTGTTATGTTAAAAAAAACGTGAGCAGATGGAATCGGTTGCGTTTCTGCTCGACTGACTTATCCGCACCAGATCACATGACAGTTTCTTACCTCTTTGGCATTCTTGATCTTCTCCAGAAAGGTGTGTAGTTCCCTGGTCTCGGCGTACAGAGCACGACACACAGCCTGGTAATGACTCGCGGCGCCGGATGTGCTGGGCAGGTGGGAAGCGCATAGCTGTAGAGGAGAGAAGGGAAGGAACTAAGTTATATACAGTGGTACCATTGAGGTTAATTAGGTTTGTGATATTGGGCTATATAAATAAAATGGATTTAACTTAAACTTATGTAAAAATCATTAATTTAAAATGGCCAATATAATGTATGTATGTATACATTAGTATCCTGCATAACTGATGCATACATAAATCTCTTATATAGTTAATGCAAAGTGAGTCTTTTTGTGACCAACATTTTGAAACAACATACATGTCAGGAAATCATGTACACAGACACAAATATTACAATTATTGAGGCAAACGTTTATGGATATGCACACAATTTGGTGGCCATGTACGAAGACACTATAGGCTTTTGATTTCCAGCTGTTGAAATCATTGACTCAATTTTCCACCAAACTCAGACGATGCAATAACAAGACTAAGAGTCTGCAGCTCAGTCTCAGTGGTGCATCAAGCTCAATGCTAACGTGCTAATGCTAAAGTCAGCATGCCAACATGCTCATGTTAAGCAAGTATACAGTTTACCATCTTAGTTTAGCGAGCAAGCATGCTAACTAATTAGCACTAAACACAAAGCACAGCAGAGTCTGATGGGAATGTTATTAGTTTTGCAGGTATTGGTCATACTGATCAAACTGAAATGTTGGCCTGATGATTGCACTAGATTGAGAGTTGAAATGGAAAATACAAGTTATTAAAATTCATCCTGAGGGGGAATATTAATGTCTGTAGAAAATGTAATGCTGATCCATCACAAAAACACAAACATGTGTGGCTCAAAGTGGTGCTAGAGAAAACAGTAGGGGACCACCAGCATCACTGGGGCCGTCGCAGTGAAGGAATCCATCGGACAATTCTTGGAATATGTCTATCTGGACCAACGTTGTTGTTTGGCGTGGCTACAAACATGTACAGTCCGAACCCGTTTGAGCTACATTGCCCGACTAGTATCACCTGGGCACCATCTAAAGATCTGACCCTCATGGCATTCGACAGCGATTGTAAAGATGATACAGGCCATTCGACAGAGCAATGGTAGAGCCGTTGAATTATCTCCCGTGACACAAAAGGGAGAAACCAGACGAGTGACATTTTCTGAAATTGTCACGCAGGGCTTGGCTCGCCACAGGAATGTCTGACTCAGCACAACGTCTTCTTCCTTATCCATTGAAGGGCAAATGACACCTGAGCAGTGAGAGTCTTTACGAACATGCTTAAAATACAGCTGCATCGGTGGTTTTCACAGTTTAGGCTAAAACAAAATTCTGTATCAAGCCAAACTTATCTATTGAAAAATAAACTGTAGCTTAACCACACATTACAACAGTCTGTGCCAATGTCAGAGTTTGGGTATTTTATTGACGAGCCCCTCCTCAGCTCACTATGGCAATGAGTAAAACCCATTCAGCATCTAACTATTCCCGTCTTAGTGAGATGCTTCTCTAGCAAGTCCTGTCATCCTTCGTCAACTTCACATCTTGCTGAACCCTCATCGACCCAACCTTCCTCAGACAGAGCAGCAGAGTACAAGTGAAGGAAGGAGGTCAGTCAGGAATGTGCAGTGGTCTACTCCAGCCATACCACCATACTGCAGTTTACAGTTTAAGAGAATGATTGTTGGAGGAATTAGGAGTCAGGCAAGGCAAGACTGGCAGCAGACAGACGTAACGGTTGTGTTATACACCGGGTTCATTATATGGAAGAACGGACTGTGAAAGTTTCTAAGCCTATTCCCCAAATACCAGCATGTTTACACAGCTATAATTACCAGTCGCATATTCACAGGCTACTTGGGGAATTTGCAGCATGACGGACCCCATCAGGGGAATTTGAGTGATGTGTATGCACTGCTCCGTTAACAGATCCGATGTGAAAACGGTATAAAAGGAAAAGAGGAATCTGTATATTTAATACACCTTATATGACTTTCATGAAATGTTCTGCAACCCAGCAACCTACCGTCATGAGGTCTCGATAGCTGCGAATGCTGCTGACGGAGCTGGTGGTGGTGGCGGCGGAGACGGGCTCCTCTTCTTCTTCTTCTTCCTCCTCTTCTTCCTCCTCCTCCTCCTCCTCTCCTTCCTCCTCACACTCATCCTCCTCCTCTGTGGCTTCGTAGCCCTCATCAGGGCAGGGGTCACTCTGGTTTTTTTCGGCGTTGGTCATCATGTCGATCAGGCGCTCCAGCGGCGGGCTGAGTTCACGCTCCTCATTTTCTTTGAGGCCGTAGTCTAGAGCTTTGTAAATCATGACACCCAATGAGTCAATGACCTGTGGGACAATGGACAAATAGAATGGTGTACATTATTATGGTGTACTGGAAAATACAGCTATTTTACAGACTTATAAAAGGGTTCCTTTCAACTGAGTTTTTACAGAAAAACAAAACAACGGTGCAGGATTGGGTCAATTATAATAAAGATTGACATCCACCGTCTTTCATAATTAGCACATCATTTACTCTTAACCTAGATATTAAAGACAAAAAGAATAACTAGAAATTGAACATTAACTGTTCTTTAGCTTGACAATTAAGAAGGGAAGCTGAGGGTCTTTTCTAATTAAGCAAGGGTTATTGAATTACTTTTTTCCTATCCACCTTTAGTTTACTTGCGGTTACGAGTGCCGACATTGTGTTCTTTCCAGCTGACAGACTACACCGTTTAATGTTCATTTTATAAAAAGGCGATATACAAATAAAGTTTATTATCATACTATGATGGTTATTATTATATTAATTACAATGTTATGTTGCCCCTGCTGCTCTTTGATCAAAGGCACACAGGAAGATCCTCATGGACAGACCCAATTTCTTATCACCCCTGACTTAGTTAGACAAACATCTACAAAAAACTCAGTTCACCTGAACAGACAAGAAGACAGTTCATGTCCATAAACCAGATGTGAAACGAGACCACAGAGCGTGATTATTACCATAATCTGGGGATGATTTCATTTCCTCACCGCTTCACTTCATTAACAAGCAGGGTATGACCCATCTTTTTTATTTTGCAGTTTGTTCCAAAATGTCTCCAACAACCACCGCGCTGAGACGAAACAAAGTTCTTCTTTCACTGCAGCATGACGAGCTGGCCCTGCCGTGCAACGTCCACTCCTGACAACTTAATCAAACCATTGCTCTCAGTTCAACGAGTATTTGGAAGCAAGAGGAGCTAAATATTTGTCACAGGACAGTGGCTCACTGAGGAGGGACTCCAAAGGAAGTTCTGTAAATCACGTAAACGTTGACTGACACACTCAAGTTGACATTACTTCACTATATATCTTTTCATAGCAAATAGTGGTTTGCTGCTCTATTTATTTTCAGAATGTTAAATACAACGTCTTTAAATTGACACTTTTACTTAATCCAGCACTTATATTTTAAGCACTAGAGCTCCACAATGCACTCTGTCTGCAAGAAAATATGCTGTAGCCTACGTCCCTTTTCCTACTTTCTAGTGGTGTATTATATAGAGTTCCCTTCATTGTTCTCTATAACATTCAACAAGGGAGTTGTGTCAGTGCCAAACTGCTGTGGATACATGGTTTGCACAAAATTTTGGATGTAGACAGGAACCCCCTGCTGCAATTTATTCGTTTGCGCACACGCAACACCTCAAAGCTATTTAGAGTTTGCTCTGTTGAAGTGATAAAACAATGAGCTAAATGCACTGCCTACTGTGAGTCATTACTGTACTGTGTTTATAACCAGAAAGGAATGGAGCAACATTGTTTTATTTGGACACCTCCCTTTTTCAACAGAGCGTGGATGTGGGTGAAGCTGGTGTAGTCGGGCATGGCCGCCTTGGCTCGGGCCAGAGCACAGCACCTGGCTGTGGTGTCTGGGAGTGTAGCGCACAGAAGGGGAGGGTGTGTTGAATGAGCATGTTTGGGATAATCGACGGCAGCAACACAGGCGGAAAATCATTACATTACCAACACAGCAAGTCAAGCTCAAGTGACGCCCTCGAGTTTGAGCTTACACACATCGATATTTTCCTATAGATTGTTTTTTGACATTGATCTTTCTGAGATGCGCTATTTTTCTCAACACCTTATATTGTTTTTTTTAACAGTGAAAATATGGGGATATACCATTCAAAATGAAGTTGGTATCCACTTAGAATTGCACATAACATGTCATAATCATTTTAAGTCTCTCTGTCGTTGCTCTATATCACCTGACAGCAATGGGATTGTTATTCTTCTCTGTGGCTCGGTTTAACTCAGCACACTGTTCATCGTCCAACTATGAATAAAAATAACCTCTATTCTGAATTTACCAACACTAAACTATCAATCCCATTCTTTTACTGTTATCACTTATCAACCATCTCTGTGTGCGGCTGATAATCCTGTTCCAGGGCTAAAATAAATATCCTATTCCTTAGTGTCTCATTATGTAACCTTATAATCCATCCGTACGACAACACGCGCTGTAGTGGGCGGACATGCCAGGGACTGCTGGAGTGACAGACAGCACCAGGATGTCATTCATGGGCCACAGGGACGTAAAGAACTACATTGGAGCATGTATAGTAAACCAACATCAATACTGAAATGAGGAAAATCCTCCTGTATCCATGTGTCATTTTAGCAGCTGCGTTACACTAGATTTCTAGTTGAGGAACATTTGTTATACTGTCGAGGCTTGGGTGGATTTAATTTGAATCCAATTTCCATGCCGACACAAAACTGCTTGTAATAATTAACTGCCTGTGGTTTAACAGTGGCTAGCACAGAAAGGCTCACGGTTTCACATAATTAACCAAAAGCACTCGGTACATTCATCTGGTTCTGACGCGCCTGAACATAAATAATGACAACTTGGACTCAATCTGGCAAACACACAGTTAAGTCAATATATGAATGGGTAGGGAAAAAAAGACGAGGCTGGATAACTCCACCCTGTCAGTGGCAGTGTTGCAACAGCTTCATGATTTAATATTAAAGAATGGCATCAAGTCCTCTATGAGTCATGTCCGACGGAACGGGGAAGAGGCATCTTGAAGTAAAATCGATAGCCAGCATCCAGGAAAGAGGAAACATTACATTAATTTTATAAATGCAGCTCACAATCTCACTGGAGGACTTGTGACTCAGAGGAATGAATGAGGCAAGGAGAGGAATGAATGAGGCGAGGAGCCAAAGCAGAGGAGAAAGGAGGACGGAGGGGAAACAAGTATGCGATAAACAGTTAGGAAAGACGGCCAGAAAATCCACTGCTGGGTTTCAGTCACGGGCAGAAATGTTTGGTGGCAAACCACTAATTGAAACCAGGCTTCACCCGGGACAGGTGGAGGCCTGTCAGGGTGGATGAAACCCTGAGCAGCTGTTGCTGTGGCCTTGACCGACCACAGGTAACACAGGAGATCGCCTACGTTTTCAAATGCTTCTCAGGAAATGTAGCGGGATGAGTCTCGCTCCACAAACAAATAATCCTGCTATGGTCTTGCATGACATCCAATGAGGTTCTTCAGGCCTATGTTTTCCAAACAATGAGTTGTTTTATACTTCAGAATCTCCTTCTCACATGAAGACCAGTGTCAGAAGCATCATCTTGAGAATCAATGGCAAATAGGAAGAGAATTTATATTCCTCATGAATAACCTTTGTCTCCTTCGTTTCATATCAAATCTTCATTTCTAGACCTCGCTCCCAATAAGTATAACTAGTAGAAAATAACTAATAAACGATAAACAACTAAGATTTCAAATGATCGAAACAAATCATACAAATTAACACGGATAGAAAATCCTCATGAAGTGGACCTTTTTTCTCCAAAACATGACCTAATTATTTGTACCCACTCAACAAAATGAAGCAGTTTTTCCTACTTAAAAATGGGTCAAGCTGTACACTCAACATTGCAAACACTGGTCTTTTGGGCCCAAAAGCTCAGACCGGATAGTTTGGGCACTCAGGAGTAGAAATGCCGTCTCTGGAGAAGCTAAAACTCAAACTATTTATTGTGTGCGCTCCTTTCTTGACCAGTATTTGCTTGGAAAAGCAATTAATTCTCTATGTGATTACCCCTGGTTGGATGAAGTAAATGAAGTATAGCTTTGATAAACTGCCATTTTAATTCGTATGGGGCAAAGTGAAAGGAAAAAATCCTAAAAAACAAGACTAGGTCGAAAAATAGCCATATGCATATCCTTGGTTGTATAAACAAGAGGAACCATGATGGGGAGAGCATCAGTGAGTCAACCACTACGCAGATGGGCAAAGAAAGAGCCGTTTGTGTGAACGTTAATGGCACTCTTTAACACAAACGTGGGAGAAAGGAAAAAGTCCGGCGAATGTGCCGCCGTGTCTTTTATAGAAATATACAACTACTCATAGTTTTCCATTAATGAATTGTCAATTCATATCAGTTGTCATATTTATGTCTATAAATATGTTCACATCTAATAGAGCTGATGAACTGACATTCATCAGACTTCAGATTTACGACTTCAGATTTAACCCTTTTTTTAAACACTATTCATTTGAAAGCAAAAGTCTATATTCTTGCAGACGTCAGCAACAGGACTGACATAATTATTTGAGTTATTCTTGACTTTGCAGCCCAAAGCAACACTGTGACCATCCGAGTTCACAAAACAGTCAGCTAAGCAGCCTTCAGCGCTGGCAAAGCCATCACAACACAGACGGTTACATAAGCAGAGCTAAATCTAGAGATCTTCCACTGCAAGAGGGGATGCTCGGCCTCCTCCAGTCTGAAGCGTCGCGATTCATTGTGGGACAGAACACGGCTCGCTCTTTTATATCCCCTTCTTAAAAAGCTGTCCAGTTTGAACTCGTATGTGAAGTCAGCTGGAAATTACAGAAGAGGATTGTGAAAGAGTCCCTCTGGGTCAAACAGCCATTACCGACATTATGCGTCATCACTTCAAGCTATCGTGGTGGAATAAAAGCTGATACGGGAGATGCAGGTACATTTAGTTTAAAATATTTTAAACAGAAGGGGCATATCCATGTAAAAGAGGTTACATCGCCTGAGCATTACATGGTCTAGCCTATTTATCTACAACCAATATTCATCAGCTGCAAAAGCTAACCGTTTCACCTAAAACGTTTTCAGACTCCCCACATTGGCTCTAAAACGCAACAAAAACTGTCTCTTCACACAAAAAACACACAGGACATTCTAGCAACTACTGTAAAAATATCTGTGATAAAAGATCTGATAACTTTGTAAACTTGACCGACTGAAGTGGAAATTCAATTCCTTTCTCAGGGCCCGACTGGACCAGAAGAAAATGATTTATAGATTTCTTCTTTGTTAGATATAAATAGAACACCCTGACTACTCAATAATTGGCATTCCTGTGGTGTTGTGCTTGCTGTGAATATCCCTGTATAGGCAGAAATATAACCCTAGGGGGCTACAATGTGAGCTGCACGGGTGCTTTTAAGGGAAGCTGTCACAACAAATCAATTGATTGATTTTGATAAAAGCAGGATATAACAATTAGGTCACTGGTAAATATCCGGCATAGAGGGATCAAACTGGGTGCCAATCACTGCACTTAAGAGTCACAGACAACCGACCAAAAGAATACGCACTTGTTTGCTGTCAAAGACCTGTACTTATTTATAAGAATTTACACAAACTGTCCAAAGAATGTTCACTAAAAATCGACAGCCATCATTAAAAATCATGAATAAAACGACGTCTCTTCCCCTTGAAGTGTGCAGCATCACGTCAGAGCTGACAAGAGTAAGAAACAGTGTTTGTAGAGACGGAGCTCATTGCCTGCAGTGACTGGTATAAGGAGGGCGAGAGACCCACTAAACACAGAAGCTTCACATGCAGACACTTGCAGCCCCTGTTCAACCAGCTGCAGCGTGGATCCCAGGACTGTTCACATGCAAAAAATATGCACCGCTCTGCAGAATCTGAGCCAAACAGTCAAATCCAACCATGTGGAAAGAGGATGCAGTTTGGATCTGGAATTTAACACAAGAAAAAAAAACAGGGCTGTGAGTGAACAACGGCTCAATCTCGGGTTTATGGTGGGTCCATATTATTTGGAGAATGAGAAAATAAATCTTCAGATTACTCACAACTGAAGACGGAAACTACTGGGATCCATTTCAAAATCCAAGGCTTTACTTCGTGCATGAAAATGGCAAACTAATTATCTCGGCCCAAAGTTGAGCTACAGGGAACCGAGCAGACCTGGCAGACTGGAGAACCTGTAATGGGATACTACAACTAATCTTCAACAGAGGACAAACTGGGTTGAGCTTGTCGTGAAGGCGACAACTTAAGGTGCAAGTCTCACACAAATGATTTTCTTTTAAGAAATAGTTACTACTAGCCATGCAGATGACAACAGAAAAAAACAGTTTTAACTCAAGTGACAGAAGGGTACTTTACTTGACATTATTGATGATTATCTTAACACAGGCTCTGTGGTGCAAGTGAGGGAAAGTGGGTAAACTCAACATAAGATAGTGGTTCGCTCCACAAGTGTCCAGAAGCAGAGAACGGTATGAGCAACTGGCACTTACTGATGGGCTGACTCACTTACACAAGAGACAAAAAACAAACAACGCTAAGACATGAGGGACGATGGGCTTTGGTCCAAATGTGACCAAAGCGTATCATCACTAAAAAGGGTAACACTGTGTTTGTGTGAGTCTCTTTGTTCACTATATTCATTTTCCAGAATGATCCGACTATAAATCAGGTCAAGGATAAGCACCGAAGTGAATTTATAGTTCCAGTTAATGCTCGGAACATTAAATTACATTCATGCCAACACCTTCACAACAATAATGCTCACATGTTTAGCAACGATAAAGTATACTAAGCACTGATTGCAATGTCCATCTATTTGTATCCATTTCACATTGCTGTGAAAACATCGACTAAATGTGGGATGGGAATGAGTTACAATATAATAAGTGTCTGATTAAGTAAGTTCCAAATGTGTTTACGGTTGTTCCTCCTCGGCTTATTGTGGACTTGCAGTTGTGATAAATTGCGAGCTTCAAGTCTTCTTCACTCACGCTAAAGAACTTTTTTGCAGACCCACATAGACGCTGTCTTTGCTCGGAACACTGCCATCTTCAAACTCGGTCTTCATTTTGATCTTATCACCTGTAATGTTTTGTGACTGCATCTTGCAAGGTTGATGATTATCTCTTTGGTTAAGCCATCAATCAATGAGACAAAAAAAATAATAAACAGATTTTTTTCAAAACAAGGTGCGTCCTCAAAGTTTGGCCTCATGGTTGATTCTGTGGGATAGTCATGCTGATGCACAAATAGCCGTTGTGCAAGGTGTTACACATTTTTAACAAACCAACAAGGTAAAAACACCCTGTTCATTCTTTGTAACATAGTAATAAACAAAGACAATAATGCAAGGAGGAACTCAGTATAAACTAGCAGAGGAGGAGGAGGAGGAGGAGAGGGCAGGGACTGTCAGCTGAGGTGGAGGAATTCTACTTCAAACTCAGCCATGCAAAAACACACACAGACACAGACACACACATACTGTGCATGCCTGTGATCACATGAACTGCAAGACAAACATGAAAGATGCGCAGACTTGATAGACTAAGTGCACAGAGAGTCCTCCATGTACACATAATTAAGATTTCAGAGAGACTTCTCCCAGCATTATACAGTGTACCTTGCTCAGCCAAACAGACACTGGACACCTCTTCACGTGGTATTGGTGATGAGTGTATGATAGTATAGAAAGTAATGCATTTAATGAACAAAAGGAGAAGAAGTCGTGCTCTTCTGCATCAGAGTGCAGCAAAGACACTACGAGTACTGGACAAAGTAGAGAGGACTATTTGCACAGAGCTCACTCCCACTCTCTATTGTTTAGTGCATCGCCAACACTTGGAAGGGTGTAATGCTTGCATGTTGGTACATTTGGACAGGTAACAATTACTTTTCATGTTGCTGATGCGCAGTGTCATATCTACGCTTTGACTGACATAAGACGATTTCTACCACTTCCTAAAGACGGAAATATCCTACTCACAAGAAAATACCACCACTCTTCTCCAGCGTTGATAATCAGTTAATGTTCATGTATATGTATTTTTGCATTGGCTCCTCACAGATGTTTTTCTCAAGGCCACCGTCAACAATGTTGCAACACAGCGGCCACACCAGCCTGCTTGTGGTGCAATTGCTCACTAGTAGATTCAGTGGTGGGCAAGCTATGAAAAATAGTTTCTGAAATCATTTTGTCACATTTAAATGACGCATGACAGCTGTGGAGCGAAAAGAAATCTGATTAACTGAATTTGAAAGCTGCATATTTTAATCTTGAGAGTAATAAATAGTGACCAACTGCTCTAACAGCACATATTGAAAAGGAAGACGAATTCTCTGAAACTGAACTTGGAGTGATTAAGGAGACTGATGTGAAACTCACCTCTAACGACGTTGCAGCCGGTTGGTATTTATCTGTAATGACAGAACATTGAGAGAGTTATTACACTCGTAAACACTACGATACTTAGTCATTGTCCCAACACACCCTCTGAATTATTCGTGTACATGTTCTGTGTAATTATGTATGACATCTAAAAAGACAGAAAACACACCTCACACAGTGTTACAGGACATAAAATATTCAACTTGAGAGTGGAGAGGAAACTGAATGTAGGGGGAGCTGCAAAATGTGATTCCTCGACAGCGCCGACTGTAAAACTGCCGAGTGAATAAATGATTATGTTTTCTCTGCAGTCACTGCACACTGCCTGAGGCAAACTGTCAAAACCTGCCAACGGGGGCTGGTTATGGAGATACGGCTGTTCCCTCATACTCTGGAGAAAGACGCTGCCCTCTCTTCATTTCCATGAAAACCTCGCTCAAAATGGAAAGTCAATATTAAGAACCTCGATCGTGACCCTTCACGTACACTATAAGCATTTTCTAAACAATACAACAAATCACGGGAACCTAAATGGACGGGAAAAACCTGAAGTTTCTCTTTCACTTATTGGACAAAAGAGAAAACAAAAGCTTTGACAATCTCATCTCTTGTTCCGTAACTGGCTTTTCCAACACACTTGTATCTCTAGCTAGATCTTAAGAGCTCAAAAGTACACACAATAAGTCTGTTTCCTATACTGCATAATTCTATACACTTTACAGCTAATCACTGGCGAACAGTGATTGGAACACAGGTTAACTGCCGGTGAGAGTAACGTCTGGGGTGAAAGTACAAATAGGGAGATAGATGTGTAGACTTTGACACCTGTCTGGACTGTAAAATTAGGCCATTGCATATAAATGAGACACTTTGGTCAAATGCATCATCTCTCTGAATGCTAATATAAGTACCATTTCAGTTTAAATTCCATCAATTGAGGCAGTGATTGAGTAATTTCCAATTGAATAGCACTACTCTGACTGCTGTGGCGGCATACGATGACATTGTATTTCAATACAGCGCTTAAGGAGGCATTCAAGGAAAATACACGTTTCTCAGCTCAGTTCTGCGTAGGTCACTATGAATTGCAGCCAAAAGACACGAGGAAAAATAAATAAACCGCCATCCACCAACGCTCATTTGAGAAACACTAGGTCCTGTGTTCGTCCCAGTCAAGGAGAGATGGCTTGGCAAGGGCCCTCGTCTCTCCTAGAGCGATTAAGTCACCGTGAGGCATATTTGGAGCAGTGTGCCGCGTCACCCAGACTATCCCATTCAGTGAAATATCAACCTCTGTGCTGCTGAAAAAAGGGGCTTCAAAAGAGGGTGGAATACAGACGGGGGGGGGGATGAAAAACGTAACAACTAGATTGAATCTTTAAACAAGATTTTTCTTGCTCCACCTCTAATCCAATTAAAAAAAATACAGACAAGATGTTAAATCATATTCAAACCATTTCAATGATATAAATAACCACATCAACTGTATGAATTCCAGTTAAAATACCGCATGCAACTAATCAACAACAAAAAAATTCTCTTTACTGGTATGAATCACTGGAACTCTTTGAGCGTCTCTCATTTGGATGCAGCCTTCAGGCTTCATTCGGGCCCTTCTCTTGGCAACGTGGAGTGGCAGTGAATGTATTCTTCCCCGTGCTCCGTGAATCGATCCGACTGCAGCAGGAGCAGCGTATACCTTGCATCAATTGAGCCAAAAATAAACACTTGACTGGGACTCCGTGTTGCTTATTAGTCCGATTCTGTTTGCTATGCATTACTGAGATACACACTTCCTGTGGTGCGTAGCGCTAGACGACATCTTAATACAAGCAATAAGATAGGAAGAGGGACGTGAAGGCCTCAGTGTTGGTGGTCTGGGTGCTGGCCAAATAACGCCATCTTGACACCGACTCATGCACAGGCCCAAGTGGATTGCATTAGCAAAGGTTGTTTGTTTTTTTTTGCTGGGGTAGCGACCTCGGAAACGGTACGCAGAGCTTCTGAAAGCGTAATAGGCCTCACGTCTTTCTCATCACCAGGCCAAATAAGAATCAGGGCCGAGCTGTCCCAAAATACCTCAGCCACTAGCCAGAGGAGCAGCAAAGAAACTCTCCAAAATCATCTGCAGTCAGACTGATAAAAGTCTGTGCATTAATAATCACGTTTATTCTATTTTTAGCACCGTCAAGACTTTCGAAAGAACCGGCTGAATCGGTTTATACCGAGAGTTAAATTCCCACACACAGCAAACATCACCGGTTGGTTCAATATGCTGAGATAAGGGAGAGCTGGACTGAAGGGTGAGCGAGCGAGAGAGGGGTGTAAACAGGGGAGGGGAAAATAAGGAGAAAAGGTGGCTAATAAGTTCCCAGGAGAGACGGGATATGACCTCGGTGCTTGAGGCTATGCTGAGCTGACGGCCACACCTCCTCCACACCCAGCTCTCCCTCTCGCATATTAATGGAACGCAGTTAAAAGTATTTGAGACGCTCAGTAAGTCTCTCGACACACCTGAACTGGTGTACTGGAAGAGGCCTTGCAGGAAGCACCTTTGAATTTGTAACCAGCATGGTCTTTGAGTTGTTCCAGTAGTTGACTGCATTCAGCTTGAATCCTCAAGTGTGAATCTAAGCTTTACTATATTAAAAGACACCAGGGTTCAAGTGATTCGGTCAAGAATTATTTGATATAATGTGCCTGTTTTATTTATTTATTTAATTTATTTAAAGGTATCATGTACAGTTTAAACATAAATGTCTCCATTCGATGCACTGTACCAGATTGTCGCTTAAGCTAATTTGCATCTGCAGTCCCTTGGCAGGTCAAACAAGGACAAGACAATAACACAGTAAAAGGAAAATACATAATACAGAGATATACCATAAAAACATACAAGACACCCAATACAACGCCACACACAAATAGCACATCAAAAATTAGTGTTTGTCCATAAAATCAAGTCAGAAAAGACCACAAGAATTGAGGTCAGTGTGTGCAGTGTTGTGCAGCTTTTAAAAAACGTTTTAAGTTGGCTTTAAAAGTGCTAATCGAACTGCAGCTCCTCACAACTTCAGGCAGGGTGTTCCACTGGTGTGTTGCTTTTACAGAGAAGGCTGATTGACCAAAAGTAGTGCGGTGAAATGGTATTGTACAGTCTCGTGTAGAGGATATTCTTGCTGATCTAATAGAAGTTGCTGAGCGAGTATATACAAAGTCACGGAGTGGAGGAGGGGCCAAACCATTTAAAAGTCTAAAGACCAGGCACAAATTTGAGAACAATCTAAAATTGTTAAAGCTCAGTTTGTTTGTTTATGTCCATGAGGCCAGACAGGTAGCCCGCTGTCAGGTACATTAGGACTAATTTTGTTCTTCAACTATTAATAGTTTGGTCTATAAAAATGTCTGTAGTCCAAATTCATCTTACTATCACGAAAAAGTAGTAAATATGTGCATTTGAGAAGCTGGTATGTTTGAAATTTTGGCATTTTTGCTTGAAGGATTATTTAGCATAATTGTTGCAAATTATTTTTTCTGTCAATTGACTGATCAACTCATCTATTAATCGTTTCACCTCCGAGGTAAATAGTCAAAGTGGATCTACTACACACAGCCCATGTGCCTGCAAGCTTCCTCCTTACTATTTATAACAAACTCAATTAAAACGTGTTTCCATTGCGTTTAAAAATCTCCCCCAGGTGCATGCATCTCTCTCTCCTCCTCCCCCCTCCCCCCCCTCCACCCCCTCCCCACCTCGCGACTCCACCTGCTGATCACTGATGACCCAGGTGCATGCATCTCCCCCAACACACTAATCTGTGCCTTTACCTCAATGTCACAACACAAACAACGTGCCTAGCAGCAACATGAGTCATTCTGTGTGATGCTCGCTATATGGCTTTGCTCTGGACTGGGCCCCCGGTGCTCTGCAGTTTGAATCCATCACATGGTCCATTGTTTACTGGAGATAACTGACCGCTGCAGGAGCGTAATTTAAAACAGAGAACGTAGACCAGACCTGTTAACACACCCGTGTGAGGGAACCATGTTTATAATGTCAATATTAGATGCATGTCGTGAGAATGGACCCCGCCTGCTAATAATTGATAAACCGCTTTCTTTTGTCGCGTTGATTCCCTGCAGCTATGCGGTGATCTGTGATGTATTTTTAATGACCACCATCGAACGCCTGTAAACACATTCGCCACATGGCTGGAAGCAGACGGCCACAACAACATGGCCTCTTTGTAAGATATGCTCCGCTCGTTTACCTGTGTCGTCCTCAAAGAGCAGCTTCACGTTCCCGTCTCTCCCAATCCTCACATCACCGGGTCCCTCGATCCTCTTCGGGTAGTCGACGGCGGCTGAGCCGCCGGCAGACTTGGAGCTTTTCCTCCGACGTTTCTGCGCTAAAGTCCGACAGCACTGATAACACATGGCCCAGGCCTGCTCCTCGTTGATCGGCTGGCTGTACAGTTTCAGGATGTCTTCCAGGGAGACCTCCGCGGCTCCTCCGTCGCTGCGGTCCATGTTCACCACGTCTCCGGGGCTCGAATCGGACGCGAAGTCCCGGAGAATGGTCGGCGAAGAAGTCAACATCCCGTCGTCAGTCCCCGGTCGCTTAGCCATCCTCACCTCATCATGAACACATAAGTTAAAGAGAGAAAAGAAGGTGAGTTATGAATTAATATTCCAGTCTGTCCACACAGACGTAGGATCTCAGCTGGTGTCTATCCGGTGTGAACGAGGAGCATCAACGGCTAACTGACAGCACAGCACGTTCCGCGTGGTCTCAGTGCCCGCCGGTTACACTGCGTATGACTCGCTTGTCCATCATCTTAAACTGAAAGCGGAAATCGTCATTTTGTAGGCCACAGGACTTCCGCCATCAGGTGTGTCGTCAAAAAAAAAAAAAAAAGGTTAGGTTAAATTTAAAGGGTACACTATAATTGTGAAATGTAATGGTTTACATGGGTGGAAAGTAACTACGTACATTAAGTTAATTTGCAATATCAAATAAACACCATTCTTAAAATAGTTTGATTGAGTACACCTTAAGTGCACAATAAAAACATGATTTATGAAATTTACAACATTTTGAGATAGCATTATAGTTACTGGAGTGCAAAAAAATAGATTTAAAGAATAAATAAAAACTGAGACAGAAAAAAGGAACCCTATACATTTTTAGTAATTACATTTTAAATGCCATCTTTTTCATTTCCTCAATATTTTATTACATTCAAATAAATATAAGTATATTTTTTTCTTACCTTTTGGCCTGTGTCTTTTGCTGCTGTGATTTTCCTCTTGCAGATCATCTTATCTTTTTTTACTAAACTTTGCAGGTTCCATACCTAAAATAATATAGCCTTTTAAAAGGCTATATTATTTTAAGTAGTTAGGCCACATTTAAACAACTACATTAACATTAAAATGCTGTCTACATGTTAATGCATCAATACATTTATCAATTACTATAATAAAATAAATAAAATAATACAACTCTAAACACTGAGCCGAATTTCATGTTTGAAACGTTAACCGTTAATACTCAAAATATACTTTTACTTATAGGTAAAGTTTTAATGCAGGATGTTTACTTATAAGTTAGTACAGTTTTACAGCAGTATAGCCGCATTTAATTAAATAAAGGATATTTGTACTTCTTTCACTGTTGCAAGTCATCAATATCAAGGTTTGCTTATTTCTTTGGAAAGCAGAAATAACATCACAAGTGAGAAGCTTACTTTACTTCTCATACACACATTTTCTGCAGAGCTCCATCTCCTGCTGACTGAGATGGAGCTCACATTATAGATTTTTTTTAAAACATTATTGCCAATAACTATTTATCTTATCATGTTACACTATCAGTGAGAGCTTACAGACTATGGTGATGTTAGGTGATGTGTTTTATTTAATGGAATAAATATAGTTTTTTTGAGGCGGGGGGGGCATTTGCCCAGTCTAATATGCCTGCATATCTTCTCAAGGGACTCTTGGACAAACATACAAAAAATAAATAAATACAAACTCAACTGCTTTTGTTTTCTTGCTATTAGATGATTACCATGTCCATGATATTCATATAAAAAATTAATTCTGTAGTAAGCCCAGCATCAAACAAATAAGATAACTATCAACTCATGTGGTTGTGGGCTCGGTAAGGACAAAGAGAGAACTGTCTCTAAAAATATCCATAAGGTATAGACACACATCAAGTTATTGGTCTATTGACGTAGGCTAATTAATTCTGCTGTAGCCTTTGCCTGTAAGGAGAAATTACTGCACATCTCACCTCTTTCACAACTTAAGAAACTGACAACAATTTTAATTCAAAGAAGAAAACTGTGGTAGATCATGAGTTCAAATGTTGTTTTCCATCACAAAAGTTTGCCTGTACACATTCAAACTGTATCATCTCAGTAAATCATCAACAACTCTTGACAAGCAACAGTTATCACGAGCAGAAAATGTTAGATCAGACATGGTGACCGCCACCTGCTGGCCATAACTCTCACGATGACCCATTCTAATTACCCCTCTTAATGTACTTCTCTGTGCAGCTTTTCTATTTTTATGTCTACCAAATGAGAAAAAAGTTTGATTTCAGACAGCTTGCTTCTGATCATGTGTGGGCAGAGTAATTTTTCCACAAATGCTGAAACAATTTGAGATTGATTTAAACATGCAGATCAGTGTAAGCCACACGGATCAGTACAAGACATAATAAATGGTAAATGGTAAAGTGTAACACAATATAACATAAAAGAAGAGGTAAGAGAACACAAAATACTGAACAAAACAAACTCTCAAAGTGAGAACAGGAGCAGTTCAGATCAAAATGTAGGCACATGCGGGTGTGTTTGTTTCTTTGTCTTGCAAAGGCTGGAAAAAGACAGTCTTCAGCCTTCAAGCATTAAACCTCCAAATCTCAGTTTCTAAACAGCACTTCAGGGTCTTTTAAATGAAAATTATTTACAGCATCAACTGAGGTTAAACAGCATCATCATTGTTTTTCATTCACAACAAAAGGAATATACTTGCACAAAGAACTGAAGCAAATTCTTAAGGAAAGCCCCACACAGAAAACATTTGATGTGCAGACTGTGATTATCATGTGCATACAGGACGGTCTGTTCTTGTTTTCTTTAAAATTGGCTTAACGCAGTGACTCATTCCCTGACCGGCACCGTAAGCATGGGAGAAGAGCATGGTGGAGAGCGTGCACACGTTTTGCGATCCACTCTCTGCTTCACTTCAGGCATGCATTTGCAATGGCAACAACAAGGATGCAGCATCCCGAGATCTTTGGATGGAGACATTACGCAGGTGCTTTTGTTTTTAAGTCACTGAGATCGACAGCCAAGGTCTTGCAAAGTCACGAGCAAACATCATCCACACAAGACTGTAAATCCCCGTCCCATCTTCTGGTGAACTTCTCACAGCTCCAGCTGCCGTCTTCCTCCTCACAGAGTCTTGGCTTTTCTTCATCTTTCATCACACACGGTCCCAGGTTCAGCGTCTCCACTGCTGTTGATGGTGACGGGCTGGCCGTCCTTAGACAACGCACTGGCCTCTTTTGATGCCCTCCTTTTGGACTCACGAGTGGTTTGCTGGGAAAAGATGCGAGAGTTTTGAATGCCACGTCATTTAAATGTCACCACACTGGACAGGGAGCGAGTGGGCAACAATGGCCAACTGAGACCTGAGTCACTGAAGCTCTGCCCATAAATGGAAGGTTAAATAGATAAAACGCAACAATCTAGGTTTCTGTGTTGCTGAAAATGTAGTTTGTTAGGTCATGGAATTGATTTTCAGATCTTTTTCAAATGAGTTTCGTACAGAATTGAAAAGAATTGCAACTCGTTCCTCAATAATAATAATAATACATTTAAAACATGCAGAATAAAAGTGTCCACAGTGTTATCTGTCGGCCTCTTTTTATCTGCTGTTCATGAGTATTAAAAGCCCATACATTTGCATTTAGAGCAGATAGTGGCATCTGCACACTGTTCCATTAGTGCAGTAGCTCTTACAATAAAATAAAAATTAGGAAGACAGAGAAAGAATGAAAGAAATGTTATGGTACAGGTCATATGTAAATGCAGATTATTTTCACACAACTTATCATTCTCAATGTTTACTGTTTGCACTCACAGCTAAGTAGAGGACACTCAAACATCGATATTTAGGAAAATATTGTGTAAATATACTCTGTTCGTCAATAAATGCAGATAAAACCTTCGTAAGTCTAGAACTACGTCTTATTTTCACAATTGATGAATTGTATTGTGTACATCACCCGTTTTCTCAATAAAAATGTAAGACAGTAGTGAAAACTACCCATCTTCTAATTCTTTGTTTTATCCGTCCGTTCATCAGCCCAAAGCACAAAGACATAGCAGCTAACTTATTTCATTAAGGATCAATTTACTGTGGTGACATCTGTGAATTCCTTCTATTAAACAACTATTCAGTGTGATTATTGACAAATAAACAAAGCAAGTCCTGGTATTGCGTATGGTTGTTGTTGTTGTTGTTGTCGTGTGTGTCTCTATTTGCATCTTCCTGGAAATGTTATAAAGCTATTCTGGGCAAACTTAAAATCATATCTCTGCAAACTTATTTCATAACATTATCTCAGATCACAAGACAAATATCTGCCGTCTGTCCTTCCCTAAAGCCTTCATGTTTTCTAAAGTTAAATTAACAAATTTGATGGCTAAATTCAATCCTGTTGAATAAATTGAAAATACTGATTCTGATTTCTCATAAAGTTGATTTTGATTCTGCAGAGTAACCTGTCAGAAGGACTTCCAAACACTGCATGAGACATAACGTCAGAGGACAGGTACAGTAAGTCATGCTGTTGGGTCTCACGGCCTGTAACGTCACCATGTGTGCAAAGACTGAGGCTGTTGGTGTTGATGTTTAGCTGTCAGGTGTGTCAATACCTGCTACCGGGGACACCTACATCACTCAAGGAGCGTCTGGCTCTCCTCTGGTGGCTGGAGCCTGTGGACGTGAGGGCCTGCTTCCCACACTGGGTGCCTGTGTTCACCATCCTCTTCTCCCTCAGACTGGCCTCCAGAGCTTTACCTTTGGACAACAGTAAGGGCTTAGATTATCACGTGAAACCTCTTGTCCGGGCTTATTTTTAACGTTGAGACAATAGAGACGCAAAACTGCTATGTCAGGGAGTTGACATGCTGGCAGTTTAGAGTGGTTTATTTAGCTTTCTTGTGATCCCTATACTGGGCATTATTTTCTCATTTTAGTAAGTGTGATGTGGCCTGTGGTATACATGCAATGAGAGACGTTGCAGTGAAAACAGATAACACGGAGGCGTGGGGGGCTCTTACTGTTTGCTACTGGTAGAGAGGTCTCGACGTCCGTATTGGTAAGCCACGTCGATTCCGTCTCTCTGGTCCAGCTCTCATGGTACCTCGGCTCGATGATCGCGTCCGCCCGACTCCCTCCACAACCCATCGGGACAATCATCCACGGCAGGTGCGGCTGACACGCGGGCTGAACACGGGCTCGGGTTGTCTCACGACAGCCGCGGCATCCTCTCCCCGGATCTCTACTGCGGCTCAATCCGTGGTTCCGTCTCCATCACCAGTCGGAGCCGCTGCTGATGTTGACGCTGCCCTCCACAGACAGCAGCTGACCGGCGTTAACACACACAGGGGCTACCTGCGTCATCCAACTGCACCCACTCTGACCGCTGATAGGCTGCGAGGGACATCCACTCCGTCACCATCGTCATCATGCAAAGATGCGCTCGTACCAATCAAAATCACACTTTACTTTAAGTCCCCCTATTTAGCATGTATAATAGCTGTAGAAACATTTCATAAATAGTTTATAATGTTGCCTAGCTGTAGGCTAAGCAGCTGTAAGAACATGGTTGTGTTTTTATTAATGTACAGCTTTTTGTCAATAACAGCTGCTCCTATGAAGACATTTTATAATTGTTTTACTATATTGTAATTCATTCATCATGTATTTATGCACCAGCCTCCGCTTATCAGTGCCCACACGAGGAGTCATAGTTATGAATAAACAACTCTTATATTTGCTTATTTGTAATAAACCATTTATCAATAATTATACTAATCATAAACGCTAAATATGACGGCTTGTTCCCAAAACCATTACTTGTTTTAATGTCTTGCTCTTTAAGAACATTTTATTGATTCATTTTAAGTTAAATAACCAAAAATAATCAAAAGAGGATAGTTTACAAAATAAATTCGTACCACTGCACTGTTTAATAAGTATGGAAGCCCATGTTTGGCAAACTTTATGATGAAAAAAAGACGTAAGCAAACACATTGTAACTATTTGCCTTATTAATAATGGTGTTTCAGTTAGATAGCATTAGTAAAAACAAGTTTGAAATCCCTTTGAATATTGAGTATTTATCCATCTATTTGGAAATAAGGCAGTTATAAATGTAAGTAAAATCCACTAATAAAGGATCATTAGATTGTTCCTTTCTAATAATGTCGAGGGGTGTGGTGGAGGACTCAAATGCAGGCCAGACCAGAAGTAGAGTGAAGCAGGTATTTTAATGAAACGTGAAAACAGAACAGGAAACTTACAGAAACATAACAGGGAATCAATCCACGGACGAGACAAGAGACGAAGGGGAAATCCAGCAGAACGAGGCAGGGCAGGCAGACGGGGACAACCGAAAGGACGAGCCAAACGGGCGGTAGACATGAAAATGATCTGGCAGTGAGTGCGTGTGTGACTGGGGTTTAAATAGTGGATGCAGCAGAGTGAGCAGGTGAGAGTAATGAGCTGACGAGGTGGGTGTGACTGGCAGGTGCACTGAATAAACTGATTAGGCGAGTGAGCGATGGACAAAACAGGATAATGGTGGCAGAGCTGTGACAAATAAGCCATCATATCTGCTGTTATATCATGTTAATAGCCCTGGTCTTTCAAATTATATATTAGGATATGCTAATAATAAAGTTTAGTCATTTGTCAACATATGAAACAATAAGAAAATCTTTAAGACAAATAAGAAGAAAATTAGAAAAGACTTACCAATATACTTTTATAGACTGCTAAAATGTTTGAGTTTCATCGTGTAATAAAGAGGTTTTACAATATGCAATTGGAAATATTATAGTTGTTAATAAATTGATATTTGTTCCAGATGCTCCAGAGGTGGTATTGATTAAATAAAGAGCTATAAATGTACAAATATTGGCAATCCCAAAGTTGTAATTATGAATTATTAATAACTAGTAAAACCTTATTAACTTCCTTCTTTGTACATCATGAACTTACATACGCTTGCGTTGTTTCCCATATATTTTAGTTATCTTGATCAAATATGTTGCACAACAGAGAACAAGTGTCCAACGTGACTCAAAATATAAAATCTTGAGCAAATATCTGATAGTTCTGATAAACCATTCGCTTTCCAACAAGTTTGCATTGGTCACCTCACTCTAGATTTTAAATGGTATCCAGTTGTACAATTTTGTTTTCTTCTTGTTTTCTTCTCTTCATATGGAACTGATAGTGATTCTGATGTTAGTTAATATCAGCCTGAGGATATTTATAAACTTTATTCTGCAGTTAAAAAGGACAGTGAGCCAATTATATTTCACATAGAGTATTTATTTTTCACATTTATTTTAAATATGTGGGGTCATTCTCAGTTATAAAGACAATACAGTATTTGCACATAGACCCATCATTGTTTTTCTCAAACTGCTTAATATACAGAAATTATAGGAGCATACAATCAGCAAACATACAACACCGTAAAATGATCCATCTCAGTGTTTCACAGGATTACAGCTTTATTGGAGGGGAACAATGGTCAACATCTACTTGTCACAGACATTCCTGACATGAAGCTAAAACATCACTTTCAAAAACAGAACAAAACAAAAACATATTCACTGATTTTAGAGGCTTTAAATAAATACTATATTTAACATACATATATATTTCTCCCCATTTTCCCCACATATGTACCGTTTTTGTTGCTTTTAATAAAGTAGACTGACAGGAGAGAGCAAATGTATGTCCTTTGATGGGGAATGTTTGGTGGGTGTCACCTGGGGAGCTATTCACTTTTACATCATTGTACAAAGAGGAAGTGAAAAAGAATAAAGAAGACGGCCCATATTTGTCACGTATATTAGAACAGAAGTTCAACAACTTGCTCAATATGGACCCAGGAATGTACCGGGAGCATCAGAGAGGAAGAGAGGATGGCAATGAAAACAAGAAAAACAGGGTGGAAATAAATGAGAGCTTGGGGATGTGAGCATGTCACATCGGAATACCACGGCACAGAGAATGAGATGATGATGGAAGTGTATCTAGACTTTGAAGTCCAGCAGGTTGCAGTCGATCTTGTAGTAAACATAGGGGTAGTACTCCTGCTGGCTCAAGTTCAGCCCTGGGATGTCCATAGCAGCCTGCACGCACAATAGAGACACAGTTAGACAAAATAATCACACACACATTGTTTGTATCAATACGGTAAGTTCCCATTAGAGTTTAATGATACCGTTGTAATGGTTTTTTTTTTTTACTATATACGTGGTGTGGTCTTGTCTCAAAAATACAAATTTTTCTTAATATTTGCAGTGATATATATCGATCTAGATTGTTTTGTGCGGGTTGCCGAGTGTTGGAGATATCGGCTGAAGAGATGTCTGCCTCATCTCCATTATAATGGAACTAGCCGTCACGCGGCTTGTGGTGCTCAAAGCGGCAAAAAAAATATCTTTGAAAAACTCAACAGCAACGTCTCTTTCCAGAAATCATGACCCGGTTACTCAAGATACTCCACGAACCTGAACAGTGAACAGTTCCTACATGAAACAACCGACGCAATATCTGTCACACCAAACAGGATGATTTGGTGTAGCAAATAAAGACCAGATTTACAAGGACATAAAGGCTTTCCCATTTGTTCAGCATGGTGAACAGTGAACGGCAATAAAACAATCCAGAAGCTTGCCAATGTAATAATTTATATTGTTTTATTGAAATAATTAGTTTGCAGCTGAGTCAAGTCCAGTTTAGAAAGTGTATGTTTAACAGGCCAATAGCAGCATGAAGGGCAATCTAGTCCCTCCGTGCTGAAGTGACAACCAGATGTCAGCAGCTCAAACACAAGGGATGATCTTAGTCTTCCGAAGGACCCCGTTACATGTCAAAGAGCTGGACCTGCCTTCCTCCAATCATTTTACTTGCCACTTAAATTGTCAAAGACAAGGGGACTCACATCAATGATCGCAGCGCTGCTGTCCAGGTGTTTGTACAGGTCAGAGAGCACCTCTCTCAGCTTCTTCATGTTCTTCTTGTTGGGCTGCAGCAGCATGGCCTGGAAGTTCACTGGCAGTCCGTATCTATGAAACACAAGAAGTCTTTAAGTCCATCTTTTATCTTTCACAGGAAACAAATCTTGCATTAAAAAAAGGGCGAGTGAACGGATCACCAAAGTATGCAAAGAGTAGCAGACTGATGAACTTCACTGAGGGTGTTTCATGGAAGCTGCCGGGTCTTCACTTGCTTACCTCAAAACTGATTCCACAAACACACGAAGGGCTTTTATGTGAATCCACGCGATGAAGGCTTCGCTGAAATTCACTTTCAGCCATCGTACCAAAGGCCCCTGGGTGGAGAGAAACAGCATTTTAATATTTTCTAATAAAAAATATATACTGGCTGAAATTCCCTTTTTGGATGTTTCTTAATTAAATCATCCTTGAGAATTACCAGTAGGCATAATGACAGAACTATATTAAACTGGTTTCAGGCTTTCAGCCACGATGTAAGAAAGCTCCTTGAAGTAGTTTATGTAGAAAACAGCAGCCGTACAAACTGTTTCTTCTTGTCAGTGGACAACCGTGTCATCTCTTCTTTGTCTGCCTTCAGCTCCTCCTCATTATACTGGAAATCACGCACTGTATACCTAGGGCAGGACACAGAGCAGAGAGCTGGCAATCAGCTGTCAGTGAACACACACACACACAAGTGCACACCTGAAACAGGTCTACATACAAACGGACACATGATACTTAAACACACAGATCCCTCAGTTGTGCTAATTGAAGAGACTGTCGAGTGCTGGCAAATTGTGTTTATTATAGAATGGCAGTCTATTTTCAGAGCACAACAAGCCTTTTCCTGCGTTAACAAATAAGTAGCCTATTTCAATAATGAGGTATCATTACTGCCATTTATCTGTGGTTGATTTTCCACAAACATTACAAAAACACAAAAGAGAAACATAATCTGTAATCCAAAACTAAGATCTCTCAAGTGGCAAAAACTGAAACACATCTTAAGTGGAAAATAAAATGAATTTACTTGTTTTCTCTGGCCTTGTGCTTGAAGTCATCTATGGCCTTCCTAAAGAGAGTGACACTGAACATACCGCTGTCGTTGTCCTCAAACAGCAGCCTGGAGGAGAGGACATGACACATAGCTTTGTTTATACAGTAAAGTCATATCTCATATTCATTATTTGTGACAGTCGCGTCTGAAAAGGTCTGCGCGCCAAGTTACAAAAATTCAGAGGAGCAAGACCAAGCGCCGTAACCACTTGCGGCCCCTTTACACACGACGCACAGGACATAATTACGTTACTTTCTGGTGTGCGCAACCCTTTGCCGGACCATAAACTAAGCTTTAACATAGAAGCTTCCCCAGTCCTAGCTGCATAAGATAGATAGCCAGAAATGTTCGGAACACAGCAAAATGAGAATAAATAAGTAAATACGGGCAGAGGGCCGGGTCTCTACAGATACAGACACCACCACACACCTCTAGTGGCTCATAAGTGATGATGGAGAGGAAATATTTTTCCTTTTTAGTCTATAAGTTGTTTAGATTTTTTTAGAAACACCTACTCATTGTGGCTTTGAATTCAGATAGGTTACAGAACTGAATGTTCTTCTTCTTTTGGTGAATCATAAATCTGTCAAAGAAAATTAACTGAACCACCGAGCTTACTTTGTGGAGCGTGGCACAACCATTTCTGACAGGGTCTCATACGTCTTCTGCCAGTCAGCATAACTTGTCCTGGTGAGGGTGGAAAGGGAAAGATTACAGCAATGTATTCTACATCTAAAAATTACATGAACTGGGTGTCTTCTTAAATAACTGTCAACTACCCCATCTAACCCCCATCTTACCTTTAAAAATGTAAAATAGATAGTTTTACAAAATACAGTTTCTTGACTGTTTTTATGCAGCTGTAGTAAGAGGAGATCTTCCATCAAATCTACCATACATACAATGACATGAGGACTCTTACCTCACCGTATATTGAATATGTAGATATCGATGTAAGCCTACTTACTTTGGGACAACCACCAGCATGGTAATAAGGTACTCCGAGTCCAGTACAAAATCCTCTTTCTTCACTATGTCAGCCAAACTCCTGGTCAACAAACTCCCCCTAAAGGACGACACGTGCAGTTCAGAAAACAGAAAAATATGTTCTGTGATTTCTGTTTGTAACTGCTGGACAAGGATGCTATTTGTACATGCTGACATCAAGGTAAATAGTAAATGAGGACTAACTTTAAAAACACACCAAAGATAAAATACAAGCTAATAATTTGTGATGAAGCTGAAGAAGTACCACAGTATTTGGCTTTAGTCAATGCTTCTGCAATATTACAGAAAACATACAGCATATTCATGTTATTATTATTTTATAACTCACGCATTCTTCCTCTCCAGGTTTTGCAGGTTTCCCTTCAGGTTGTTGTAGGCTGAAGCTCTGGCCTTTAGGTCATTGTCTATCTGAGACGCTTGCTAACAATAAGAGGAGGAGTAAGCGTACCGATACTCCCCAACACGTAAAACTATGATAAATATATAATACATATTATGATGGTTTTCCATATTTCGAAACAAGTATAGAAAGATACTATAATTAGTTCAGTACGGGATAATTTCCTGCACCACACATAATACATAATAACTCTCATTGGATCACAGGAATGGGCAAAATCAAACTACGACAGATTCTTACCTTGGCGATGATCTCAGAGATGTTTTTCAGCGACTGTTTGATTGGATACTTAGCCATGTCCCACTGAAACCTGGTAATATAGGTGACCAGGTCCACTGTAGAACAGATTAAAGTCATCTCCATTAATCACCTTCATTTCCAATGGCTGTGTATGGTTGTACATCTGAACACACAGGAACCTATAAGGTTTTACTTTGAAGTCTCCATGCTGCTTTCTACCTCCTTCCACTTATGTCTGTTAACAACTGAAAAGCGTTCGTCCGGACACCAGTCTGATGATAAATTAAACAGCAATTACCTCCATTAGCGAGTAGGTTCTCCTGGACTTTGTCTCGGCTGTCCTCCAGGACATCGGCCATGTACTGAGCGACCTTCTTCACCACACTGAAACAAAACCCGGGGAACAAACACAAGAGAAGCAACAGATGACAACAATGTGGTATTTGGTTATCTGACAAATTGTCTCCTGCTCCCTAACAGATAGAGAGGGAATTTTACAAACTCTTTCAGTTGACTTTTAACACACAGAGGTTTACCTTTCCACAAAGGTGTCTAGTTTAGCCAGTTCATCTGACAGACCCACCAAGACATCTAGTGTTCCGACCTGTTAAAGAGGCAAAACACACAAAAACATGAACAAAAAACCTCCACTAGAGTACTTAGAGGTGGATTGTCTTTGGTGGGGAATACACATGACTGCCGTGTTACCTTGAGATCGGGGATGTTGAACTTGTTGTTCGCGGAGAGGTTGTTGGTGCGTGTGGTGGCCACCATCAGCTTGTCCCAGGTCTGCTGGCACGTCTTCTCCCCCGGAGCAGAGATCAACCAGAATTCTGTCATGGCTGTTGGTAGGAGGTTTGTCCACTTTGATGTGAGGAAGTCACTGAGGGTGAAGAGAGAGAACGAGCATCAGTAGAGCTCTGTGATTTGATCCAGGGCTGCTGTTCTGTTGCTATTATCATTTATAGCATGGTAGATATTCCTTGAACAGCTTTGGGTGTATTGTGGGAAATGTATAAAGACACTTATTTCAATGATTTTTGAATTAAAACCATGAAGTTCTTTGATTTGTAAGGCATTCGATTTGCTGGATTGACCGAAAACACAAATCCGTGTTAGGTAATATTTACAGTTTCTCCACTGATTTTCCACAAATATTATGGAATCAAAATAACCTAATAACATGACACGTGAAAAACAAAATGACATTTGGAGTGATAAAAGATTTTATCCAGAATACTTCCACTCCGCTACATTTCAGAGAAAAATATTGTACTTTTTACTCCACCACACGTGTCTGACATTTGTTCCCAGTTATTTTGGATGTTGAGATTTGTAACCAAAACACATGATCAACATATAAAAATGATGCCTGGGCACACATTAAACTAATCAAAGTAGTTGAAATCGGCTCCTCTTCAAACTGCTACAACATTTAAAGCTGCTTACGTGTTACTTGTCCAATAATATGAGATACTGTAATGTTGCATAATGAGAACTTATACTTTTGATATTCAAGTTTATTTAGCTGATAATACTTTGGTACCTATCCTTAAGTAAATGTTTACTGTACTGCATGACTTATACTTTGAGCTGAGTATTTTCACATGCTAGTAAAGGGTATGAGTACTTTTCCATCATCGTATAGAGGACGGATTCGCAGCTGTGAGAGTATCATGAATCATATTAAGATGTTTGTTCCTCTTTTGACATCTATTTTGCTTCTGATTCATTAACTTCCTCACATATCCCCATGATTGTAATACAGTCACTACACACACACACACACACACACACACACACACACACACACACACACAGGTTGATTGCATTAGTAAAACTCAGAAGCGACTGGTCTCCATGTCTGCTGATTGACAGTCATATGATCAGTTCCTGCTCTGCAGAGGACATGCTAAATACTGACCCTCTTAATTAAACACCATCAACAACACGTGACTGAGGGCTGCTGCTCTTTAGGTTGGATTCGTTAACCATCCTCACTCTAAATCACTGTTAATGAGCAAAGTGCACCTGCTTCATGTGCGTTTAAATTCAGTGTTAGCTCGCTGCTGACACGAGCTTGTTTGCATCGCAGTCTCTCACGTTGTCACGACGTCATGAATCGGTATATTTCCGTACTTACCGGTATGTTTATGGCTTTAGTATTTGGTCCACGCGGTGCAATTCAGTTGGACAGACGCAGCTTCCCATACATGGCGCAGATAATAACAGCTTTTCGACTCAAAGGTGCATCAACATAGCATCTCACTCACAGTCAGCTGATCAGTGTTGTGCGTCTGCGCAAAGGCTGCTGCGCGCTGGACTGCCTCCACGTGACCGACAAGTCCTTGTAAGAATATAAAAACAGAAATAGCATGTGTTGTCCACGTAGTGGAAGGCACGAAAACTGTGATTTGATTTTAGAAAATACAATAAAAAAAACATATCTGCAAAGGTTCACCTGAACTCCACATCTGAAATGGATAAGTCCTGGATAAATGGTTGACAAGTCCCGCCCATAGACTGTATATAAGTATATATATATATATATATACTGTATACAAGAAGTCTCTGCCATTACAAAAAAAATGGTAGTAGGCCTAGTACAAATTAATTTGGTTGTAGATGCTCCTGTTAATCATGTACAGAAGTGGCTAGATGGAGTTTTCTGAGACCTAATTTGTCAGCTTAATATTGTTAAGATAAGTATTACCACATGTTATTAGATTACTTGCACTCCACTTTGTTTAGTCATATCACAATCCAAGAAATTTAGATTATTTTCAGCTGCTTCATTTTTTGGTTACAAAGTAATGATAGTATTTTCGATAGTCATTAAAGGCAGCATGTGTGTTTGTCTTGACAGCTCAGTCAGTATCACTCAGTGTCGCCCTCTTCTGGTAAGATGTATCTAACACATTAGTTAATAGTTCCAGCCTTTACGTGTCACTGTTTTAACAGTTTTAGTGGAGTTGACTGATCATGAACTGATTCAGCTGTTTTTAATTTCTCAACAATCTCTGTCCATTATTATGAAATTAAATAAATGATCCTACATGTCCATCTGTCAATGGGTTAAAAGTGTTTTCACTATAGTTAGGGTTAAAACCACTATTATACAAGAGACTGGCCAATGTTGGATTTTTAGACTGACACCAATTAGTATAATAATATTTCTTTATTCATTAGTTATAATAATATTTGAGAGATAAAAATGACGGTATATCAGCAGACCTTTTTTTAAGAATAGCAATTGTTCATGGAAAACATGTCAAAGTATAGCATCAAAACCACATGTGTAAATGATACAATTAAAGTTATTTCCCACATGTGTGCTGTAAAATAGGCCTATTGTAAACAGCATACAATTATGTACAATGCAGGACATTTAAAAATGTATAAATAGTTATTAGTAGTTTATAGTAGTTATTAATAGTCAGTACTTCCTAGATCACAAACTATGTAATGGCGACAAAATGTTTTGGGGATTTCTTTATGATATTTTCTTGTTATTTATCAGATGTCATACAGACAGATACCAACATGAGCTGATACTGGTGGATATATCTGCCCAGCTTATCGAGCATCTCTTGTAACAAAAGGATTATTCGTAGTTTGGAAAAAGTTTTAATTTTGGAACTGTATGCTGGGGGTATAGTGAATTGATTATTCATGCAGCTGTTTATAAATTGTACTTCTTGCTGCAAATTGAGTTTCCTTCCTGTTGACAGTCAAGGCATTTAACTGAAGTCAGCAGAACTGAAGCATAAAATCAAATTTCCTGTTGTGAACCTTGAAGCACTTAGTTAACTTTTTCTTTTTACTTTACTTTAAACGTTGTTGCATCGTTGAATATATTAAAGGAAACAGCAATATACCCATTTAAATAACTATCAGAGCTTTCATTTTTCATTTTTTCTTGATAACTTTAATTGTGAGGTCATAATCCAATGGAAAGAATGCAAAATCCATGTTAGTATTTGGACTAATATATATATCAATATATATGTTGTGTATCTCATAACTGTGAACTGTATGGTAATTGATTGTCTATTCCTGTAATATATACCGCAGGGCCATGAGCATGAATCCATTTAGTCAATTCACTATGTCTCTGTAAATATCTGTGTCAGAGTGCTTTCATATAGGAATTTCCTTGTTGTTTAGACTCCACGGTTTTCTAGGCCACATTGTTTTCTGAACACAGTGTCCCTCAGAGTAACTGTCATAAAACAAAGATAAGAGCCATAAGAGAGCCAAACAGCTATGCAGCGAGTTGCTCCAGTGTCACAGAAATACAAGTCATATGACTAAGGTGGCTGCAGGCTGAGATTTTCATTCACTGCTGCACTGAACTCCTGACCACCATGCTTTATGAGATAAATTCCTCAAAGTTAATTTTTTCCCATTAAACGGATGTGCACGAAACATTAAATTATCACAGTTGACAAAATTTTTCTTCAGGATGGATCAACAAAATATTCAGACAGCTTTTGAATCTTAATAATCCCCCAGATTCCATGAGCACGAACAAAACTTCCACAACCTAAACAACAATATATTTTGTATGTTTTGTCGTTACTGTGTTGTAAAAGTTTATGAGTGTTTTTAAATCAATCAAATCTCCATACAGATCCAGAGAAAGATGTATGGCTGAGTTCGGCATGGTTGTAAAAACCATAAAAACATGTAATTAACTGAGATTGTTGCAATTTGAAGGCTTTTGACACACTGACTTTCTCGACCTCATAACTTTGCAGCCATAAGGCCGAAATGCACTCACAACTGTCGCCAATGCTCATAAATGCTGTCTGAAAAAAAAAAGGGTTAGGGTTGAAAATGAAAACATGCCTTTGTATTCACTACATGTAAAGATGTCGATGAAAAGCTCTTCATAACTCATAGACTTAACATCATGGTGGATGTAGGGCCATGTTATCAGAGAGGAAACGGTTATTGACAGCATGTGACTTAAAACAATGCCATATTTTGCATTCTCAGACAGACTTGGAAAGAAGATTAAACAAGGAAAATACAACATCTATGAATGCCCAAATGTATTCAAACACTTCTTAGTCGTGTTAATATTTAATTAAAACATATAATACATTTTTAAAATGTGATGTAGGGCTAAATATTAAACTATCCAACTGTAAATAAAGTAGTTCAAATAAGCTCCATCTTAACTAGCTGTAACATTAAACTGCTTCTTATGTTAAATTGTTTTATGTTTTGTACACACTGATAAATCTTACAATTGTGTATCTATTCTATAGAGTGTTGGAAGAACTTGTGTCTTTTATTCATATATAGTAGTTTGTTGTTAATTATTTGGATACCCATTAGTTGTTACCAGACCAACAGCTTCTCAGCTATCCTTCAAACAAAAAAATATAACTCTCTTCTCTCTATCTCTGAATTGTCCCACGACAACAAGAGAAAGGGTCTGATTGACTGAAACGAGTGGCCATCTACGGAAACCTTACGGTTATGTAACCTGAACAAACATTACAGACCTACGGCGGCCTGTGAGATCTTCGGAAATACATATTTGGTACGCTCTTAAAAATGCAGGGAGCTCATTGGTGGAACTGAACGTTAGGCCCCGCCCATGGCGGTTGATCACTCTCCCCACTTCCTCCACTGACTCGGCTCCAGTCGTCCTCCACCCATCAACCGACAGAGAAGACACCGCTCAACGCTCGTCCGTCATCCAGACATATGGCACAAACCGCCCTCTTTCTTTCCTGTATCGTTGTGCCCACTACTCTTTAAAAATTCCGCCGAAAAAGAGAAGACGATTTTCCAAAACATTCTGGCCGTTATCTCACGTAAGTAACGCGTAATACTTGTGTTGAGTTTCTTGTATTCAGCAGGCGGACGTAACATGGCGGGCTGGTCGTTCTGCCTCCTAGCCACACAGGACACACCGATTCATTGGATTCTGTGTTTATGAAATGTAATAACCTTACATTTAAAGATATTAGCAAACAGCACGCGATCTTAGCACCTGTAGTGTATAGTGTATTCCAGTTTAGTGCCGGTGTTGGTGTTTATTTGGCTGTTATTAACAAAATGCGGCGCTAACATGAGCTTCTTCCTTCGACGTGCTCTCTAGCTGCCAATCGCGTCTCAGCCGCGTCTCCTCGCGATTATGTTTCCTATGTTAAATACAGCCGTACTCTTACGTGCTACGTGTAAATATTAATAACAAGTATAGGGTTTCGTGTTTGTTTATGTTGACGCATTGCAATACAAATATTGAATTGGTCAAGTTATGTCCATATTTATTATCACAACACACTCGCGTGTTTTATTAATAGACAATTACTGCACGCTGTGGACTAATAGTGAGTTACAAACAGCAGGCTGAGATAGTATTCATAGTCAGGGTTGTTACACTGGGTGTTTATTGGGTTAAATACAGAAGCCACGTAACCCGGCGCGAGAGTTGCTTCATGGAGCGATAGTGCCGGTGAAATCATCACAACAAACCCGTAGAGAGTAGCGGGGAAGTTTGTAGTGAGTAAGACGAGCTAAGGACATTACATTTCATGTGATTTTTAGCTTGTGATAAACACACGGTTCTTCCTATGTATTCATATGCGTTATGTGTGTTTGTCCCTCAGGGCTCCCCTGTCTCTGCACAGGTGTATGAGCGCTACCCAGGGGGCCTAGGGGCGGCTCTCTACCGGGAGCACTTTGACTTCAACGCTGAGCCACCTTGGGATCCTAGCTGATAGCGGGACAGGTCCATCTCCTGACTTGTCCATGTGAGTGACTCTCGGTGTCTCTTGTACACAACCAAGACGCATGTTGGCTTGCACATACATGCATATACACCGGTAACAAAGTCCAGGAGCATTGTGTTCTGGGGTGGAATTAGGCACACAGGCCATGATGTGAGTGAACACACGTTTGTGTGTTTTTGAGAAAGTCAATAGATTAAGGTAGAAGCTCAATAAGGTGTCTGGATTTTACACATTTACTAATTATATAAGAAAAAATGCATGGGTGATAAAACACAGATAATAGGATATGTGTGTCCAAAAGCACAACAGACTTACTGTACAGTGTAGCTGTTGATTTTAAACATGGAAATGCATCCAGGTAGAAAGTCATGTTTATCTTTTCTCTCCCCCTCCTTTTCCAGTTTGTTGCATACCGGCAGGACCCCATTGGCTCAGTCGTGACCCCTTGACTTGCTTATCTGTTCTTTATGATTGTCGGCTTAGCGGAATACGGTTGAGATGAAAGGATTCGTTGACAAACCCAGCTACATCGTTGAACTCCTGGAGGGAGGAGTGACCCTTGACGATGTCATTGACGGACACATCTGTGAGCAGGCCCTGGTCAGTTCAGCTTGCGTGCCCTTTTAATGGCTTCAGTTATGGGAAATTTCAAAAATGCTTCAAATTGCTTTAATAACACTGTCATTAGCACTGAGCGTGTTTGTGTTTTTTTCCCCTTGATGATTGGTATGATTTTAGTTGCTATTTGTACTCAGTGCAGCCTTCACCTTCTTGTGTTCCCAGGTGGAGAAGAGTGCGTTTGTGGTGGGAGACCTCGGCGCTCTGATGCGGCAGCATGTGTGCTGGCAGAGTGCAGTGCCACGGCTGCAGCCCTACTACCCAGTCCAGTGCAACAGCAGCCCTGCAGTCATCGAGGTGCTGGCCTCCTTGGGCCTGGGCTTCATTTGTGCCAACAAGGTAAACTTTAAAGAGTCAAATTCAGGTAGCTTTATTTTATTTTATTTTTTTCAAACTGCATCCTCTTATGCAAGCACATGACATTTAGGGGCAATTACATTATCAGCACTCAATTGATTACTAGTCAGTGGATGACTGCAACACACGTAGTACCCTTTTGCTTGTTTTGATGGCACTTTTAGACTTCGTAGCGTTAGTTTCTCTAACATGTGTCCTCTTTCCTGTAGACTGAAGTAAGCCTGGTGCTGGAGCACGGCGTGCCACCAGAAAACATCATTCTGTCAGGCGTTTGCAAGCAGCTGGCACACATCAAGCACGCAGCCAAGAACAACATCCAACATCTCGTATGCGAAAATGAGGCTGAGTTGTCAAAGATTTCACGCCTGCACCCTGGTGCAAAGTAAGTGATCCAATCCTGGAGCTACTTATTAATCCTTGTGAATTTCTGCAAAACTGAAGACTGTGTCAATCTGATGTTAATCCAACATTAGGTTAACAAATGCTGACAATTAACACAAGATTGGGAAAGTCGTTGTTCGTGTCAAAAACCAACTTACTTTGCCGAGATGGATGTTTCATTCATGTTTTGTATCTTGTAGATTGCTGCTGCAGTTGACCACCGAGGCCCACGCAGCTGAAACCAGCATGGCCTTTGGCTTTTCTCTGAAGAGCTGCCGGCACCTGCTGGAAGCAGCCAAGGAACTTGGAGTCCAGGTGGTGGGGGTGACTTTTCACATCCCCAGCTCCTGCCAAGACCTGCAACAGGCCTACACCCATGCACTGTCGGATGCCCGCGTTGTGTTTGACATGGGGGTACGTACTTTCTGGAAAATATATAAACATAAAATGAATAGTTTGCAGGAATTCAGAAGATATGTGTCAACTCAAGACTTTCTGATTACCTAAAAGCCGTTTTATCCATTATACGTTATTTTTCATTGAGGGTAACAACTGATTGTTTGCTGTTTCTGTTCAGTTGGATCTGGGCTTCAACATGAACATCCTGGACATTGGTGGTGGATTTACTGGCTCGGAGGTTCAGCTCAAACAGGTACGGTAAACATATTTTGGGGATGCAATAATCAGACTGTCAAATAGCTATGTACATGTGCAGCAAAGAAGAGGCCTGAAACATAAAACATAACTGATGAACACACAAGTGAAAATACAACACTTGGATAGATTACACCATTTCAGGCTACTTTATTCTCTTTGGCCATCAACATATTATTGTTTACCCAAATTACTTTTCATTCATCTAGCTAGGCTAGGTAGCTTATAGCTAAGTTCTTGCACATGTTTTGTTTTTATTTGGAAACACCCTCTGAATGCATATTTACTGTAACTGTGTGTGTGTGTGTGCAGGTTGAGTCTGCAGTCAGACCGCTGCTAGATGCTTACTTCCCCCCGCTGTCCGGTGTGCAAGTGTTGGCCCAGCCAGGCAGCTTCTACGTGGCCACGGCGTTCAGTCTGGCTGTCAACGTGATCGGCAAAAAGGTGATGAACCGTCACTGGGACAGCCTCACTAAAGGTGAGTTACTTACTTCTCTGAGGATGTCTTAATCCTCTGTAAATCAGTTAATTCTGACTGTCATACATCTGTCTCTGGACTCTGACTGTGAGATTTAGAAAACACAGAATGGTTTGTGTTCTCATATTTGTTGTGTCAAGATTTCTGTTGCATAATCGCAGCAAAACCATCAGTGGTCAAGTCCTCCATTGCTAGATAATACCCCATGTTCTATATTTCTGACATCACTGCATTCACACAGGTGTGAACAATGAAGATGCAGAGTTCCTGTACTACATGAATGAGGGTGTTTATGGCCCATTCAGCCGCAAGCTGCTGGGAAACTGCATCGCTGCCCCGTCAGTGCACAAGGTTAGTAGACCTCCACCCACGAGAGTCGACCCCGTTCAGGACTGAATGAAGAATTTGAGAGCAGCGCTAGTTGAATAGGAAGAGGGCGTCATGCAGTATGAGTACTTAAGGACGCTGGATCCGAATTGAGTCATAGATATTGAATCATATCGACCTATATAAAGACTCTACATTGGTTCTGGATTTACACAATACAAAGCTGAGGTATTTAAACATAGTGTTCTTTCAAAGTGTGTCGAAAAGATTACTGGTGACCCACTTCTCCGTACCAGATCAGAACTCAACCCCTGATGCTAACTAACAGTTGCTAATGGCTATCCAGTTTGAGCTTGCTTGCTAGCTAATAAGCATGTTTGGGATATCAAGAATAAGATCTTTTGTCAACTACAGGAATACAGTTTGCAAATAACGATGCATCTTTTATTTTCTTCAGTTGCAAACTGTAATATAGTTGTTTTTTTCAGTAACACTTCTGATTGTTTCCTCTCTGCAGCATGCGCTGTGTGCTGAGGAGGAGGTGTTTCCCAGCAGCCTGTGGGGCCCGTCACTGGACCAGCTGGACCAGGTTGTGGAGCGCTGCCTGCTGCCTGAGCTCAGTGTGGGAGACTGGCTCTGCTTCCCCAACATGGGAGTGTGTGGCCTGGAGGAGTTCAGCTGCCTCTCCAGCTCCCCCCAGCTGCCCGTCTACTACACTGTCTCCACTTGTGACTGGTGAGCATGGAGTGAGTTAGCCTGTGAAGCCTGTGAACTAATACCGATGCAGTGAGAACATGTTGCGTTTACAAAGGAACTCATTCTGACACTTGGTGTTGCCCACAGGTACGACATGCAGGGGGCTGGTGTGGCACTGGACAGCGCCATGAAGAATTTCTCCATGGTCCGGTACAGTGTGTAGCTGCCCTCTGCCCCTGTTCCGTATGATAATGCACAGATCCCCCCTTAGCCTCTGCTTTCACCATGTGAGAAGAGGGGTCCACGAGCTCTTTGGGACAAGGGGCTCAATGTGGTCAACATTCCAGCCACCGTGGGGAAAAAAAGCAGTGTCCTATTATTTCTTCCAGGAATTGGACTTTTTTTACCTCCTAGAAATGGGAAACAATTGGTAGTTTGATACCTCAATTGTCTAAAATTTGATCTGGAAGATAATCTTCTCATTCTCGCTCCTCGCTCTAATGGACTGTAAAAATGTGTCCGCTAAAAGAACTCCGGCTCAAATGACAATATGCAACAAAATGGACGACTCTTTGGAGATGGGACCCCCCCCATCCATCCCTCTCTCCCCCCAACATGTTGTGGGTGGTTTGTTTCCTAAATCAAATCCAGTTTACAAAATGTACAATTGATTTAAATCATGTTCTCTATTGATTACCTGTTGACAGTCGCGTCTGTTCAACACCAACACATTTTGTCTGTAGGTGATTTTTGAAGTGTTTCAAAGAATCAATGTGTGGATTCTATACTTCAGACCCCTCACTTTGCATCGTTTTAAATGAAGTTATGACAATGATGTAACCTATTTCTTTGTTGCAGCTCACCTCGATGCGTTTTTATTTATTGGATTCAGATAATGCTGGGGCAAATTGAAAGCTCCATCTTTAAGTGTGTTTTGCCCAGGTATTATACTGTGGACCATCTAACAGTGTTTTCCGGATAAGATATTTATGTGTTTTTTAACGCTACATGGATTTAAGTGTGCTGTGATTGCCATTTGTGACCTCAGTGGTTTCCCTTTACTCTAAAGGCATGAAGGAATTGCTGTGGGAGATTCTCTCTTGGCTGAGCTGTAGCTTGAATACAGAGAAGCTGCAGACCCCTTAATGCACCCCTTGCCTCTAATAGAGACAGGTTAATCTGGTTTTAAATGCACACCGTCTTTTGTAGGTTAATAAATAAGTACTGTGACATTTAGCACCGCAGCTCTGATTTTTCAGATCTTCATATTAGAATCCCGTCATGGGATTGGTCCTTGTTTTTTACAGGATCTGAAAAAGCAGCAAAGGAGCTATTTCTCAAACGTAAAACGATCTGTATGTGGCAGATGTGGACTTAATGTGTCTATCTCTCACATGAAAGGCATGCTAGCTGTACACAGACCTCTCTGAGGCAGTGCAAATGACAAATAATAAACTTCCTCATGCCTCTCTAAAGTTATGAGGGACATAATGCATAGTCTCTTGTACAGCTAAATGTCTCATGTCTGATAAAAATTAAAGGTGTTGTTACTGAACTGCAGTTTTTAAAGAATCCTGCCCTTGTGTGTTATAAATGACTAATGTATTAATTACTTGCTTGTCTAAGGCACTAATGGACCATAGCCTGTTTTTGACTGTAAATTGTGCTTGTTAAAGTGATTAATTTAATACATTTCTGACTGAAATCATTTATCTTGTGTACGTGTGATCTTTGGTGCAGCGAACAGTTGTCGAGTTCTATACAAAATCTTGACTTTTTAACTGGCTGACATCATTTAAAACCCATGTGTTTTTGATCTGCTCGGATGTGTATTCTGATTGTACAGTAGTCGAATGTCCTGGAAACCATTTCATCTAAATTTAGGGCTGCGTAGCCTCAGAATTTTGCAGCAGAGAAAGAGATCTCCTTTATGGGCGATTCATCCTAATAGTACCATTCTAGAGTATTTTAATGTGTTTTGATGATAGCCTCAATTGTCCCAAAGAGAATTAAATCTGTACGTTAGTTTAAATGTATATTACAAGACGGCAGAGCACAACAGTATCATCTTCTGCCAGAAAACAGGATTTCATCTGTAGAATTGGCTGCTGCTGTTTTCTTGTAAAGTAAACCGGCATGCGCTTTGATGACAAATGCATTAAATGCCGAACACTTTAACTACAGTCTAATGATAAGTGTTCAGCATCTACAATATGGCTCACCCACCCTCTTGCTACTGTACATTACAGTATCTGATTTTATATGGTTCTGAAGCCTGTTTTCAAAAGAACATTTTAAAATGAAATAATTAAAGCCATTTGGAGGTGGAAATCCATACCCGGTTGCCAGGTTGACCTGCTGGCTCAGGAGGAATTGGATCAGAATTGAATCATAGATATTGAATCAATAATTTCCATTAATGCTTGGAAATAACCTGTCATGTCCTGTCTGTCCCTGAACAACACACTCAGCTGTTGCTTGTGTAGCTTCCAGTAGGATCCTTAAAGCATGATGTAGTGCTGATTTTTAAATAATATATATGCCATATATTGAGTCGGTAGCTATAGTCGTTGCTCACTCGGAGCTTTAACATCGTTAAAATACCGAGGGCAGATTGATGTGCACACGTCTAATTTTAAACTATTGATTGCCTCGGCTTCTAATGAATTACAGCCACAGAAACATTTCCTTGGTGTTGTATGTGAGAGCGTCTGAGAGGAGCCATTATAGCTCTAATTAAGTGTCTCATGTTAATGTGTTTATTAGAGGAGATGAAATGTTAATTATATTAGAAATAAGATGAATAGATGAGTGAAGAGTTTGCATATTTTGCCACTTGCTGCATATCACCCTGGTCAAAAAGTGCTGAGTAGACTGTATATAGAAGGAAGGGTCATGGTGCATTTGATAGTGGCGGATAATGATGTTAATCAAATAGCAGACGACTGATTATTCTGTCAAGAACAAAGCACACACAACACTCCACTGCAGAGCATCACAAAGACAAATAGACTTTACAATTACAAGGTCACAACACAGACAGGGTAGATTTGAAATGACTGAAGGAGAAACTAGATTCACTATGACTGAGCAAACATGACTGAACTCCAAGTGGTTGATTCTGATCTTACCATTGGGAAATTCTGCAGTGCTATCAGCTTGAAATACTGTTTTAGTTGAAGCTGCAGCCCTTATGAATGTTGACATGTTTACTATCTCGTGTTCAAATCACCCTGGTTTGCATTGTCTGACCAGAGGGCACAATGGTTTACTCTCGTCAGTCAAAATGTAAATTAGGTTGTTACATCACTTTAACACCAAACTGCCACATGCAACAGAACTTGTGGTCAAGTTTAGATTTGACAGATGAAGGGAATTGTAATGGAAAATGACAGCGTATTGGTGCGGATGAAGCACTGTATTAACATCTGGACTTGTGATACTTTAAAATAGCTAATAAAATGATTCAGGAGTCAAAAATTGTACAGAAGATTGGTAACCCAAGAAATTGTAGGTTACGAGTCCACCCTAGAAGCTTTAGACTGGAGTAACGTCACATTGTTGCTTTGATGAATTGTCGATTTGTCACCAAGCAAACTGAACTTTCTTCGTAAAGGTTTATTGGTAGGCCGTAATTCAGACTTTGGTTTTGCTCAATTTGTGCGAGACGTTTATAAACTGGTAAGGTCGAACATAGGATTGTTCGACCTTACGATTTTTACAAGTATCGACTTTTACAAGAACGTATCACTAAGCATAAAAATGCAAAATTAAGCTTTGCTATTGGCATACATTACTATGCAACGGTAGCTAGACATTTCGATTTTATTGTAATTCTTTAAAACATTTGAAAAGTCCTATAACTTTATGCTATGCTAGCTAAAAGACATGTGAACTATCAATTTCCACTTACTCCACTATCAAAATGATGGTTCAATTTAATTGGCTAGAAAAAGTAGCATGTTATGACGTCACACGACGAGGACCCACCCATTTAGCTCATTTTCTCGACAGCTCATTGGTTAGCCTTAGACTGGTACCACGTGACTGCCAGTGGGAGTCGCATTAGCCACGCCCCCCCCGACCTAGCTGTCTGTTGTAGAACACTAAAGTCCAAATAACAAGTCAAGTATGACAAGAAATTCAGAAACATAAATATGAAATGCATCACCTGGACACCCTGGAACGATGTGTGACAGTCTTGTTGAAAGAATATAAAGTTATTCTCTTTTTGTGCTGAGAGGCCTCCCATTGGTCAGTTTGTGCATTATGCAAATCTGGACAAACTACGTCAGATCCTGAACTTCAGCGCCATTTTTTCCTCAATAGGGGAAGAAAGGGACAAAAGCTGACCAAAAAGGAGCCTACCCTTCTGAAGGAGGGTCCGCAAACACCATATTTAATATTTAACTGGGTTCTTCATACAGCGGTGTGTGTGGACGGAGGATGCTGCTCGGATGAGTATCTGTGTGCAGCGCTGGTGGTAGCGGACGCAGCTCAGCGAAACACACACACACACACACACACACACACACGGAGGAGGGCCGGTGGAAGTGGAAAACGTTAGCCCTGTCAGAGAGGTGGCACAGCGACAACTATCGTCAATCTCCACCGAAATCTGGACGAGGTAAATATCTGTGTGCATCCTCAAACCGGAAGAAGCGGCGTGGCCGGCTCATCGCTGCCAGCGTGCTGCCAGAGGCTGCTTAACGAGTCCAGTGTGGGCAGCGTACACTGTGTTAGCATGGATGGAAAGGGTTTAGTTCATATGTGCTCTAACGTTAAATCAACACAGTTTTAACTTGCTAGAATAAGTATTTTTTTTTTTTAATTTCCCTTCAGCGATTGAATCCGTTATTATTCACGCAGAGACTGGTCGTGTGCAATTGTAAAAGCAGCTGTTGCACAGTAAGTTAATTAACTGTTGTGTTATTTGTATTTCCACAATGCTTATGCTGGTTAAAATATGCATGTTACGTTATGTTAGGTTCAGTCATTTTTCTCGCAAAGTATCCTGGCATCATGTTTCTGCAGTTAGTATTTTACTACAGTATTCTCATCATTGCATCTCTTGTGCAGGTTTAATAATGCTAGCAGCAAGACTTATTACGTAGGCGTTTAATACCTCTATTCTTCAACATGACTAGGTGACCGGCTTGTTGTTTCTGTGGCCATTTGTTTCAGTGTGTGCCCTTTGTCTGTGTGCTATTTCTAATTTAAACAACTCAAATAGTTTTTACTTTCTATGCCTTGACTGGGGAATGTTGTGAATGTACTCGCAACATAGAATACATCACATAGTACACAGAATAAAAGATGAAGTGATATTTCTCATGGCTTGATGCTGAGATTAAAGCTTGTTTTCATCTACAAGGCTTCGGAGGAATAATGTATCAGTATCCGGTTGGAAATATTGAGAAGATCCGAAAGGCACGCAAGGCAGTGAAAAACATCCTCGGTGAGATTGGCCTGGAAGACTGCCAAAACCTGCTGAAGGTATGTTTTATATATATATATATATATATATATATATATATATCTTAATTAATTATTAACAACTGAGGATTCCTTGTAAGATTTGGGTCTGGTCTAAAGCTAGTATATGAGTGTAATAAACACTCCAGATAAGGTTGTCTCAAATGTGTGTGTATATATATATATATATATATACTTTTTAATAATAGCAAAAGTTACAAACACTATGCCTATTTTTGTTGTGATGATTTATGTATATCATCTGCGTTGCTGTCCAAAAATTTGAGTCCTAACAAGAATAGTATGCAAAGCATGGGTCAATAATTACAGTCTGCCACCAAATCTTGTCACTCTGGAGAAATGCATTTTGTGTTTTTATATGTTAGTTACAAATAATCCTCATTAAAGGTGAGAACATCAGTCACACTTTTGATTTGTAATGTCAGCCATTAATGCAACCAACACTACAGTATGTGCAGCAACAGCCTCACCGGTTAAAACAAATATATATATATATATATATATAAATATATATATATATATATATATATATATATATATATATATATATAAAATTGTAAACATTTTAACAGCCAGCCAATGTAAAACACGTAAACTCAGATTTAACTTTGATTATGATGGTCACCTTGAAAGAGTGATTCAGAGGGCCTTTGGTTGTTACGGCAACAAGTGGGGTTGGGCAATATGATGTCATGTCTGGAGATGTTTTGTGGTTTTGGGATAATGTGGATAATCAATGAGCAGAACGGCTTAATGGCAATGTTGGATTTATAGATTGTTTTTTTTTAATTTTCGTACACTTGACTAGCCTGTGGCAGGATTAAAACTCAAATCCTGAAGGACTTGATATACACGCGTCAACATGTGGCAACTATTTATCAATTAGACTGCATCTATAAGCACACAGAGCTGAGCATGAATGATGTACTATGTTGATGCGCTGCTACTGGAAAGACACTGTTCGCTGCTGCTATCGTTAAAGTTGCAATAGAAAAGTTTCTTTGCTTTAACTTATCATTCTGAAGTGAATGTTGAAGCACAATGTAGAAGCTACAGAATACGGACAGCATCTGAGCTCACATTGGTTCCCTAAAAGCTTTGGTTTCACAATTCTGTGGACCACCGGGTACGATCTCCTGGGAAAATAAAGGCACCAAGAAAGTGTGTCAACCATTGAAATGGAAGTAGAAGGGACATTCCCATTCAAATAACATAGCAGGATGGTCAGAGTGGCGGCAGCCATTTTGATGTGGACCGTTGTAGCGTGCTAACTTCCTTATAAGCTAAACAGCCTTGTAGCTAAATAACGTTAGCAGACAGCGGGGTAGTTAGCTGGTTAGCTTGCTAATTCCGCCATGCTTTAATGCTACACTGGTAACAGACAATGAGCCCTACAGCCGGTTGGTGGTCAGCAACAAGTCTGCCGGTCCTTCTTCCTCACTCCCCACCGCTTTGGAGAAGGACAAGCCACCTAGCTAACTAGCCAGCCATCTCTCTCCGAAGCTGCAGCCGCTCTCCTCCCGGCGGGTTGCAACCACAATAGTTCAATGGCCGTGCTCCTATTGTTTTTCTATTGTGTCAACACCCGCTGAAACAGACGGACCTTCAGTTAGCAGCTGTAACAACTTGAATTAAGCCAGTGCAAACCTCAGTGCCGGAGGTCACTTCTGCTAAACCTCCAGCCCGCTTTGCCGCTAACTGAAGGTCCGTCTCCGGATCTACTACCTGCTCTCCTCATGGCAAAGTAGTCTCCTAGCGTTGGGGGTGTGCTAGCTTATTCTTGTTTCATTTAATCTCATAAAATTCTGCAGCAGGCCGCCGCTGCAGAATGTATATAACGTAAATACTGGGGTATTTTACTCTGCCTTTAAATAATAGTACTGAGATCGGGGTTTATAGTTCCACATGGGATTCTCACGGAGAGTTGCCTGTTGCCACTTTAAGATGTTTGTTTGTATGTTGTTTACTGCGCAGGATCTCAATGAAACGTCTGAGAAAAACGCTGATGAAGACGAGGTCTTTCAGGAGACTGACTGGGTTGATATCACGGATGGATACAATGTCAGATTCCAGAAAAAGGTGAATATGACACGTTTGGATGATCATTTGAGAGTAGTCGTTCCATTTTGCTTAATTAAGGTGTGTAGCTTGGTATTAATGTTACATACTTGTTACAAACTGTGCAGATTTTAACTCTGTTCTTGTCTCTTCCTACTCAGTGGCCTTACAGGTCTCGAGCTCTGTGCTGTACCATGTGCAAGTACTCTTCACAAAACATCTACAACTTTAGGAGCCACGTCTCTCGCTGCCATGGATATGTGCAGTCCTTCTGTACGCTGGCGCCCTGCTCTAAGTGCGTCTTCATCGGACACCCCAGGTCTGTCAAGAAGCACATGCTGTTCTTCCACGCCACCTTGGTGCAACCGCAAAGGGAAGTGCCTCAACCCGCCCACCGCGGAAATGAGCGGTATCAGTGTCGAAGATGTGGATTTCCGGCCCCCTCCATCTTCACGATGAAGAAGCACATCATCCTCAAGCACCTGGACAGTGTGGCAGAACAGTATATCGGTTACAGATTCCTCCCTCGCGGGTCAACGTCTGTGAAGGTCTACTGCTGCAAGGTGTGCAAGGTGAACACTGGGAACCTGGACCAAATGCTGCATCACATGCTGGTCGAGCCAACGCACTATGCGGTCAGCACGCAAGTGCAGAGTATGATTTACGAGAACAAGAACTTCATCATTAAAGCGACACCCAATGGGAACGGCGTGTTTGTGACATTCCCAAACATTGCTCCTAAACCACAGCAACCTCAAATGTTCAACAGCAAGTCCTTGGTTTTACAGAGTAACGGCCAACCCGGAGGGACTATGCTGGCCTTACAGCATATAGGAAGAACCAACAGTACTACTCTGATCTGTGCCCCCGGAACCAACCAGGCTTTTCTGCCCCCCCAAGCGTCGGCGCTAGTGCAGCTAGCTAGTGCTGAAGCTAAAGGTTTGCTCCAGCCGGGTGCCACGATAGCCCTCCGAGGTTCTCTGCCTCACGGAGCGGGAACTATGCTCCAGCTTCCCACAGTGTCCAACGTGTCTCTGAAACAGGCAGCTATGGCTCTAGCTCCAGCACAACATACTCCACAACCGCAGCAAATCTTTCTCCCGTCTGGACTGCGGGCCAACATGGCAGCCGGAGGTGTATCGAAGCCTGCTGTGGATACAAAAAATGCACCAATGCACCAAGTCGCTCTACAAGGCACCATGCTGACTTCACAGTCCCTGCTGAGTCACTTGATCCCGACCGGCAACAAGATGAACGGCATGCCCACGTACACTTTCGCTCCGCTGCAAGTAGCAATGCCTGTCTCTCAGAGCACAAGTACCCCTCTCAAGGCTGTTGAGCAAACAAGGAACTCAACACCACAAACTAAGAAATGGATTACATGTCCCCTCTGCAATGAACTTTTCCCTTCTAATGTCTTCGACGTGCACACGGAGGTCGCTCACCAGCAAAAATCCAACACGTCCAAGTCAGAAAGTGTGGCGGCACGAGCGGCGTTCTTGAAAAAAATGCCGGACAAAACTGTCAAGTGTCTAACGTGCAAAATTCTTCTGTCCGAAAAAAGCGTCTTCCAGCACCTTCTGCATGGCCTGAATTGTTTGTACTGCTCGGCTTTATTCTTTTCTATCAAACAGCTGGTTGAGCATGTGAAGCAGCACAATCCCACAAGCAAGACATACTGTGATTTTCTGAGGCAGAAGTACAGGGTGTACTCTAAAGGTGTCGGGGGAATCCTGTTCCCTTACTTTGACGTCCACACCACCGGACCCAAAGAGGTCTTGGGAGACACCGAGGTCAACCTCGCTCTGGTCACGAATTCACTCGACCTGATCTTCTTTAAGTTGCAGCCCAGCAGCCAGCCAGATGTCTGCACAGCGACTGCGAAAATCAACAGTGCGTATTGTCCCTTCTGTGATGAAAAGTTTCAGAATGAGACCCAACACCTTCAGCACCTGAAGCAGAAACACTTGGTAGCACCCACGATTCACGCCATCCTCAAGACGGAGGCCTTCAAGTGCATATACTGCAACGGGGTGTACACGGGAAAGGTCACCCAGCAGGCGGTGATGCTCCACATTCAGCGGTGCCGGTGTTCCCCGAAACAAACGCAGCCACCCAAAACGATAGTAGTACCGCCGCCGCCGCCGCCAGTGCAGCCGCCGAAACCCGCTCAGCAGCTCAGTCAGCCGCTCTACTTTCTCCAAATGCCACAAGGACTGACCATGAAACCGACTTTAGCTCCAGCTCGCGTTATTCCCGCCGCGGCACGTCCAGAGACGGAAGCCGAGCTGCTGTCGAAGAAGAGGCTGGAGACCGCGTGGAGGGAGGTGTTGGAGACCAACAAACGAGAGCGGGAGCAAAAGGCGGCCATGCGCAAGAAGCGAGAGCAGGACAAGCTGTTGCCCCCGCCGGAGCCCGTGATGCAGATCGATCCCACGGTGAAGCTGGTGCTGGAGCCCTCCGGGGTGGAGCGCCGCTGCAGCGAGGAGCGCAAAGACTTCATATCCAAGTACTTCAACCTGAACCCCTACGCGACCAAAACCGAGACCGACGAGCTGTGCAAGAGGCTGACCCTGACGAAGTCGGAGTTGGCGGCCCACTTCAGCAAGAAGCGCAGCAAGTGCATGAAGAGCCTCAAGAGGAGCGCGACGGCCATATTCCTCGGCTTCAACATGACGGAACTGAGCAGAGTCAAGCACAATCTCGCGATTCCCGAACAGGAGCCCGCCGCGGATTCAACAGAGCAGATGGAGAACGGTGAGGACGGACCAGAACCGATGGATGAAAGTGGAAGTAAGAAAGACGGGGAACAGGTGGAGCAGATGGAGTAAGTCATGAAATGTGTGAAAATGCCCCTAATTAACGAACATAAAACAACCCAGATAACTTTAATGACAGCCAGTCACTGGAGACTCTACACACTCTTAATGTAGCAACATTAATAGTGCTTTGTTTGTCTGTGGTCCGTATCCTAAGAGAATATAATAATTAAAGAGATATAAAGGTGTCAGACTGTCGAGCTGCAACAATATTTAGCTGGTTACAATCTCTTATTCATCAATGGCTACTGACTTCAACTCCTGCACTGATTTAGCTTCTTTTTTTTAGTGCAGCCTTTATTATTAAAGCACATTTGTGATTCCTACATCACTGCTTGTCTGCTAATATCACGACTTACGCGCAGCGCACACTTCAACATAGACTTGGTTTATCACTATATTATGCTTTTATTTTATAATTGTTTTGTCTTACATATTTGGACCTGTTTTTTTTTTTTTTTTTTTTTTATTTTGTTCATCTTTCCCCCCCCCCCCTCTACATTTAAACAGATTAAGGAGAACATGTTGCTCGCTGCTGCAGGAAGGTTCATGTTCATATGGTCATCTTGCAATTTTGAAGCCAAATTCTTAAGAATGTACAAATATTTGCGTTGCCAGGTTTATGAATTCTCAGTTAAAGAACCATTAGTTACATATTATTATATATTTCTGACCATGTGTTGCTTGCATGAGCATTTATTTTTGTTTAAATTATGATTTGTGCCATGGTGAGGTTCGCATAGACTTGAGGAGACCGAGAGATTCAACACAATATAAAACAAGTTATTGGGTGGACACCGTATGTCTTTTGTTCTCCTGACAGCAGATCTTTTGTACTACACTTGTATTTTCTAGAATTACTAGAGGATCTAAAATGTTGGGTTAGGGGTGCAAATTATCATTCTGTCCAAGGCCACTGTGTTGTAACAAATAAAGTGGTTTTCTTTTACGTGAATGATTCATTGTTTTTCATTTCATAATAAAAACCTATAAAGTTAAATCAAGCTGTGTCAAAGCACCCAAAGGTCATTTTCTTTCATGTGTAACTGAATAACCTGGAAAATAATTTAAAACACTGGTCCAGTCTTTATTGGCTAATGAGCAGGAATAGAACATGTGGGTCAAAGTCAGAATAAAAGAAGCCTTGAGGGTGTTCCATCAGTTTAATATTCTGCCTGTCACATACATTTCAGTCTTCCAGTGTGATGGCTCTAAAATATAAATGCATCAATTGTTTGACAGCAGCTTCCAATAAAAGACAAGATATGTGTCGTATGTTGGGCCCAGCCAAACGTCTCATTATTACCTTCATGCACTACCGACTTCTGGCCACACGGTGGTGCCAATTCAATTCCCTAACAGGGTTTCTCAAGTTTGACAAAAAGTTAAACCAGTTACTATCTTTCTTCATCGTCTGTTGAGAGTTTAAGTCTTCATCACCGTTACATTATTAAAAATTTATTTGTAGTATTATACTACTATATATACACGACAAAGGCTGCAAAATTGCAGTTTAAAGCGCCAGAAAGTGATTTAATGGACCACTTTTAAGTGCATTTTATTTTCCATTTTCGCTCTTTATGTTCTCAGAACAGCTACTAACATGACTTTGTGGTGGGGTTGTTTTTGCCAACTGATGTTTTTAAGGCTCAGCCAAATGGCAAAGCTTGCTAAAAATAGGTTGAACTCATTGGTTATTGGTTACTCAACATTGGTTACTCATAGTTGCGTGTCGATGTGTCCTTGAGCAAGACACTTAACCCCAAAAATTCCCATAGTTGTGCCTACGGTGTAGAAATGTGATAGATTCTGAATTGTAAGTCGCTTTGGATAAAAGCGTCTGCTAAATGACTGTAATGTAATGTAATGTAATTGGTGTTCCTCTCCACGGAAGTTCCATATCCAGTAATGTGAACTTTCGAGCTCTACTTGTCTACCCTGATTGTGTCAAGCAAAGACGGGCCGCTGTAGTTGTTGGTTTGAATGGCCTCCAGCCTCTTCAGGTATTCCACCGGGAGTCCGTTCTGTTTTGCACCCAGACACACCACCTTATATGAAACAAAGAGAGAGAGAGACGTTCAAATGAACATTTTGATTCAGTCACAAAGACATTAGACTCGGTCAATTGGAAAGTTAAATTCATTGCATGATATGGGTTTTATTGCTAATAAATGATGGTTTGTCTTTGGACCAGTGTTTGTGTTTACATGCACACACCTGTTTGTACTGAGGAGAGGGGGGGCAGGCGTGGAAATTCATCATTCGATAAGTCCTGCAGATTATGAGTCCTTTGTCAGTCTCCACTGAAACCTCCAGAGGAGAGTATATTCCTTTCTTCACCCCTTCCTGTCTGAAGACACACACAAAAAAGCAGCATGCTGCGGTTGAGTTAAGTGACCAACATGAACTGACTCAACAGCTGTATTTGTGTGTCTCACATGTCAAGCCTCGGGAGGTCCTCATTGCTCAAAGTCCAGATTACCCCACACACGTCTGCCCCTGGACAGGAAGCAATGGTGGCCACTCCACCATGCCAAACGGTGTGTTCAGTTTTCTCACACAGGCCAAAGTTTAACTCATAGTCCTGCACACACACACACACACACACACACCAACAGGGTGGGGGTGGAAAGTAAAGGACAAAAGGCCATGAATAGTGATAGGTCATTGTGCGTTTTAAACAACAGCATGGCTGGGCCAGAGCACACTGTTGTTACAGCTGGTGCTAAAGCCAGTTATCATTGAAGTGGGGGGGCTGTGAGAAAATAATGGAAGCGGCCGCTAAATCACTTGCTTTCCATATTAGGAAACCCTGAAGTAGGCCCACATTATCAGGTCACGTTACACAGAAGAAGAGGCGTTATGTGTGACAATGTGTCATTTGACATGACGGATATAATATGTGGCAGTTTAACCGCAATTCGCTCTGAGTGGATCAGTGGTTCGGTTCATCGAGCGACCCAGTTAACTGGAGACTTTCAGCCGAATGTGTCTGTGGTTGTTGTAGTTACGACGGCTGTTGGAAGTAGGAAGGGAACACGTAGCTGTCCTCGTGATTGCCTAACAGTTTTATTTTTCATTTCTATGTCAAAACATACCAGATTCTAGGGAGTCTATTTTGAAGAAAACGTGTCATTAACGTGTGAAACGTCGCTTGTATTGTTTTGAGTGTTGAAAAAGGAATGGAACAAGCTGCCCTTCTTTTGAATTAATACAGTTTGTAAATGCACATGATCATCGTTGGAGCCTGTTTTGGTAAACATGTGTCACATAGAACGACTTCGATACGTTTTTACGTTGTAATAAAAAACAGTTAGGCATTCACGAGGACAGCTACGGGTCCTCTTCCTATGGTCTTCAGGTAACGCGGTCGCTTATTAAACCAGAAGTAGATACAATGATAAAACAGCGGGAATAGTTCCCCTTTAATCCTAATACAAACACTGAAATCATTGGCACACACAATGAATGACTGTCATGGATGTGTAAGGGTTCATATCGTCGGAAAAGTATTTGCAGACTAATTAACTAATGAATTGATACTAAATGTATGTATCACTGCCAATTATCTTCAGGATATGACTTGCACGTGATATTGGTATATTCTCCAACAAAGTGATCGGTTACCTTTAGTCGTCCGGTGGTGACAAACGTCGCAGAGGGGTTCGCCAGTTGTAGTCTTTCCTTCAACAAATTACTTCCAAACGCGAAATACATGGAGCGACCGTTGGCACTAGCTGACATCTTTTGATATTTTGGGTTCCCGTCGGCTGCACAGCTAAAACTTGATATTTAGCTTCCGGGATGTCGGCATAGAAATAATATATTTCTATTGAAATGTATAGATGTTGGTCTCCGAAAAGGTTTTCAATTGCTTGTTGCCCTCCAAAGCGGAGACGGACCGCTGTTACGTCTCAACTGGTTCTTAAACTAACCGGATCCTTAGTACTTTGTGCAACCTTGCATCAGCCGTTGCGGTGCCTCTGTCGGCAGATTCATTCACAAACATATACGTCACCTATAATCAGGAAATAGTTGTTTGCGACTCGTGGGGTTTAAACATATTTGACATTGCAATTGTGTTTTTTTTATTGAGATACTTCTAATGATTTTTGTAACATTGTAGTGGTGTGATATCTCATTTCATTCTCAGAAGAGATGCCAATATCTAGCAGCCTTTACCCACATAACCTTTGACATTTTTAAGGAAAAACTAAAATGTCATATAAACGACCTAATTAGATGCCGTTTCTATCTACAGTAATGTACAACCACTTATAATTGATAGTTAAAATAACTCCAACCCTAATGTTACCCATATAGGTTTAATACAATTTTATAATATACAATTTGCAAAAACATTTTTACCAAACTGCCAGGTTCATGTTCTTATAGAAGCTACAGGTACACACGACACTGTGCTGCAGTTTAATGATCGTTAAGCTTTGCCTGGATGTAATTTGACTTTTATATACCATGTTTCAAATGCATACTTTTGTAAATAATTGTTCAGTTTCTAAGTGCCCCTAAAAAAATATACCTACAGTATTTGTTAAAAACAAATAAATTACCATGTAGCTCTTTTCAGTTGATGTTGAATTTCTTCTTAATTAGCACGAGGGGAACACTCCATGCAATGGTACTTTATTCAGCCACGTAATGCAAATAAAATGTTTGAGGAACCAAGTAAATAACTAACAAAACAACCCCTGTTACAAATTCTGCAATAATACACAGATTCACTTTATCCTCTTCAAAAGGATTTTAATGTACAAAATAAGGAAAAACAAAATAGAACAAAAAAAAACATGGAAATTCACAAAATGTTTCTTCTGAGAAAAAAAATCCTGTACAAACAGTGGGTTGGTGGTCAAAAAACAGAGCCTGGTGATCATCTCCTCGGGCCGCCCCGACCTCGTCCCCTTCCTCTGCCGCGGCCTCGTCCTCTGCCTCGTCCCCGTCCAGCCACTGAGGAGACAGAGACAGTCAGCAACATGCATCAAACATTGACCCGGAAATCGAGTATCACGTGGGCCATCTAATATTTCCAATAGTTGGACCCACCTGTGAATAATAGTCACTTTCTAAAAGTATACAAAACCTGTAGGTGAGCCAACAATTTGCATAAGAGAGGCAATCAGAAGACAAACCCATGTGTCGGCTCTTATAAAACCAAAGGCAGAACTTTTCCTGCAGAGAATATTAACAGCCACTTTTACCAAAACCTGACCACGAGGCATGAATCCTATACAAACGGTTATAGTGTAGATTGAGTTGGGTGAAAAGACATCGGACGAAAACAACCAACGTTTGTTGGACAGGGTTATGATTAGTACCGACTGATAAGTGGTGTTTTTAATCACCGTCTGGGTATGAACATGCGGGATAAACGCGGGAGGGAGACAGTGAAGTGAAGATGACAACTAGAATGCCCTCTATTTTAGGTGCAACAAAATTGTTGCCTTCATGGTGCAGCCTACGGAACCTCAGTTTTATTATTATATCGCCATCATAATGTATAGGCGTAATGTTACATTCTGCCTTCTATACAAGCTACAACAAAAGCAAGCTATACGTAGTCTAACGGTTTAGCTTAGTTTGCCATGCATCTTAAAATCTGACAAATTATATTAAACGTCTCTGCTGGCTGAGACAAAGCAGCCCCTCCTCTCTACCAGCGGCACCCGCAGGCCGTGAATCGCATCCGTTCTTCATTCTCTCTAAACTGCAGTATTTTGATGTCAGGAATGTGACTTATTGACATTTTCTGTGTGTGTGTGTGTGTGTGTGTGTGAGAAAGAGCTGGTTTTGGATTTAAAGACAAACGACTGACATTGGGGGTTTGGATAATATGCACACCTCAATACTGCACACACAGATTTTCCTCATAGGAATGGGGCCAAATAATGATCCACTCCCACCACAATATCAACTTCCAACCATCCTAGTACGCTGCATTATGGTCCTCCCTCTGCTGTACACCTCAGTGATGTTTCGACATTCCTCACCTGCTTCTCTCTTCTTGGACTTGACCTTTGGCTCGATGTCAACCAGCAAGGTGTCCAGCGGGAGGCTGTCGGGGAGGATAAAGTAGCGAATATTGTTGCCACGAATACTCAGTGACTCCAGCTGAGTGGGCTCCCGGTTCTTCAGGGTCATTTTCACCGCCTTCAGGTGGGTGTTCATGCTCACATCAACACCTAAATGTGGAAAGAAAGGAAACGGAGATAACAAAAAAAAAATGAAATGAGTGCCGTTTATTCTAATATACAAAGATGTAAAGGTAGAAAAATATGACCAGTGAGTGATAGTATGCAAATACTAAGATGGCTAAAAACATATTCTTGCAGTTTGAGCTTCTAATCCACACTAAATCAGCCCTTCCACATCACAAAATGAGCGTTTTAAAAACTCCAGTCTCGTGTTTTTGCGACTTTTGCAGTTAAACTGAATCCTGGAAATCTGTGACTGAAGCTTTGTGGCAGTAACTGAACAACTGGTAGTCTCATCTTTGCTGACCTGTGGTCCCCTATTAAAAATAACTATTTGTTACCACTTAATTATTTTTAAAGGTTATACAACTAGTGCTACAATGCACTATAGGTGATCACAGTGAGGAGGAAATGATTGAGCAGAGTTTTAACCAACTGCGACTCAGCAGTACCCAGACTTTGTCTGTCCCACTGGCATTGGCTACTGAAAGCGGGGTAAAAAGAAGAAGCAACCTCAAAAGATGCAGTTTTGGTAGAGAGTAGGGCGATACACTGTTTAACAATATAAAACTACAAACAGCAGCCTGAAAAAAACATCCTTCAGTTGAATCAGAACCTCTCAAAACGGTTTCCTACTGTTGCATTAGCTTTAGCTAGGTGGACCTATTAAACTGGCTACTTGGTGCCTGTCTAATATTAATTTAAACCTTACCATCTGGACTTTAAAGAAACATTTCACTGCAGTTTACTTACGTAGGAGGCAACTCTTAACACTTAAATTATGCACCAGCATGTCTCACCTGTGATGGTGCCGTGGACCTGGGTGCCATTCTTCAGTTCAATGGTAACCGTCTCATGGCTGAGTTTCATCAAAAACCTGTGAGACGAACATTACAGTCTGAACACATCGTTGTTTGTCAACCTTTACCAGTTTAAAACTAACATTTTACATCGTGTATCCCCACAAAAAAAACATGTGTAAAGTTAGCTAACGTTACCTAGCTTAAGTTAGCTACTGACCGTGTAGCGTTCAGCACCAAAACAAAGGTAACGTTACTCTGGAGGACGACGGTAACGTTTTAACCTCCATGCATTTAATTTAGGAAGGGATGTTAAGTGACTAAACGTAATTTACGTAAGGCTACGTCTAGTTGTTTTTAAATCCTGCCGCTAAATGTGTAAACGTTAACTGCACGTAACAGAGACAGACAGGGCCTAGCAGTTAACGAGCTAACGTTCGGTATGTTCGTTAAAGCTAGTCAGCAAACATTGCTGCTATTGTAACATAGTTGAAAAGGACCTTTTCAACTATGTTACACTATCATGCCTGCTCAATCTAAATTTAAACTATTAGTAGTAACACTACATGTTGGTTTGTATCCGTGTGTTATTTCAGAGCCTGGATCTCGGCCATTGTAACCCCGTACACAGCCTCCATTCATTCCGTTCTTCCCGCCTCATCCTCACAGTCCCTCCGTTAACATCTAACTCCATCCATCCGCATCGAGTTGTTTCATCGCCCCACAATTACAGCATTTAATACAATATGACTTTTAACGACCACTTACCTGACTAGTTTCATGATGGTGATGGACTGTAGAGAGAAATCCTCCACAAGAGACAAAAAATTACAACGGTCGAGTGAAAACACAGGCCGCTGTTGTAAGCTTTACGTTTAGAGTCGCGCTGATTATACGTCATCAAATGAGCGACAGCAAAGAGGAAATACGACCGCCTTCACCGCCGCCTACAGGAGGAGTAGTGAACATCATATACAGTGAGGGGCGAAACCATACTGTATATAACCCTAAACAGTTGACTCTATGGTTTTAAGCCTTCATTTATAAAATGATTAACAACATCTACGTTTTAAAAAACGTTATTGCATCTCAGAACAGTAGACACATGTCTGCACAATAAATATATAGAAAGAAAGAAAGAAAGAAAGAAAGAAAACAGCTGTTTTCTGTTGGAGAGATTGTTTAAGGCGGAGGAATAGACTTTTTTAATGTTAAATAAAAGTCTAAATTTAACAACATTCTTGTTTCTTGATTTATGGATGTGCTATTTCCCTAAAAATTGCGTTTAAGACAGTATGAGCAGATTTAAACTACAACACACACAAGCAATTAAATACAAAAGCACAGACCTTTTTGACTCTGTTGTATTCAAGTGTCCCAGAAGCCATCATTATTATATTTTTTTATATCTTCACCTGTGCTTTTACTGCTGTAAAATACACCACCATGTTACACCTGCCGGAGATGTAGATAGACTAATATGCAGTAAACCAAACGCACTCAGTGGTTTTCTGAAGTACTGTATGAGTTCAGATGGTGAAATTTGTTTGAGAAATTCCCAATACTAGATTTACTTTAGTTGGAGGAAGACACACGTTTGTCTGGGTTGTTGTAGTTTTCACTGGCTGCCAGTAGATGTTGCTAAAAAGCCCTTAAATGTCGTATTGTTTTCACCTTTATGCCATTGATTGATATAGCTTAATACCATTTTCACTGGTAGTAGGGCTGTCCTCAAGTATATGATGTTCTGGTAATCAGATTACTCTCTCTTTTGCAGATTTTTGTTGAGATGGTTTTGGAAAAAACAGAGTATAATCTCATAGCGGCAATCTTTCAGTTTTTATTGAGAGAAAACTTTGCACTGACACTTTCATTTACAGTTTTGGCCACACATCAAACCTCTCTTATGGACCGACTGGGAATGTATCAAGTATAATCTATGCGAGTGCAATTTCATTTTTTTAAATTCTGAAGTGGTTGTTTGAGGGATCATTGAAATATAAACATTATATATGGTGTACAAAATGATACAGGACCATTCCCATGACACCATGAATTAAATTCTAAATCAAGAAAACAAAAAAGGAAATAATCATAAAAGCCACACTCATCAATCCTCCACATCTTGCCCGCCCACTGGATTAGTGCAACACATTAACAGCATGCTTGTGCAAATTAAAAGACCCCAGACTCTTCCATTTTGTATCCTGTAGCAACCTAAAATTAATGTGAATTAAACTATTCCTCAAGAAACAATGTCTGAAATGTTTATAGGCAACAGCTGCCCTCATGAAATGTCTTCATCAGCACCTAAAACCTGTCCAGCACCGTCACAGTTTAATGACACAGAATGGAAAAAGGACTATTTTAGGAGTTTTGTCACTTCAGTGGAGCACACCAGACCTCACACTTTAAACAAAGCTTCAAATTCAATTAATTATAAGTGATGCACTTTTTCAAATCACATTCTGCATAACTGGCACATTTAAAGTAGAGGGAGAGATTTCAACTAAATTCGGATATCTTTACATTTGTTTGTCTTGGCATGAAAGTATGATTAAAAACCACTCCATTGTAATGATTTCAGTCCCAGCAGCACCAGATCATATGTCAACACAACAGGCAGTGTTTGATTCTCTTGTAAACATTCCAGTTGGGCAATAAAGTTTTTAAAGATAAAGGCTGAGTGACAATCCAGGATTCAGAGTGCTACATCACATTTCAAGAAAAATCAAAGGCCACATTTGAACCACTTCCAAGATGAAATGGTCGTTAATTATAGCGAAAACACTAAAGTGTAAATAATTGACAAATGATTTCTTTCATTTAGCTCAAATTCAGTTTTCCTCAGGGGAAGAGGTAAAGTAAGATCAACCTGTGGTGTGAGGACAAACGATAATAATGTGCATCAAGAACCTCAGTGTATGGCAACTGCCAAAGTGGTGTGTTCTCCGTTATCTTTCATCGACAACTTTGTTTTGCATGTATAAAACGCAATGACAGTAATAAATACCAACGAATGGACAAATTACGACTGAAACAAAAAGGCACACAGACCCAACAACTCTGGTCTCAATTGGAAAAAAATATCATCTCTATATGGAATAAAGAAATTTAAAAAAGGATAAATTACAGTAAATCTCAACCCATCTCTCGTCTATCAATAGCACACTGTACTAGCCATCAGTAGTGGAATAGACATGATAAAGGTATGAAAAATAAATTAAATGAGTGTTTTCATGTACAGTATTGTCTGATTGTTTGGCTCAGTCAACTGACAAATTGATAGACAAATGTTTACCAGACTTACTGTAGTGTGAAGTCAGACTCTTTATAGCTACAGTAACAGCTGTTCTGATCTTTATTTCTTCTGTCACACATTCAATATTTTGTTTTGATGATTCATTTGTTTGATGGCATTATTTTATAAAAGCCATATATTTTGAAATGCAACAGTGATTAAAATTAAGCAATATACAATATTGTGATGCTGTGATACCCAATTTAAAAAAAGATGTTCATCATGTATTCCATGTCAAATTTGAGGCAAACGTTATTATTGATGTAATAGCATTTTGGGTTAAAGAGTTTTGCACACGGACACTCAAAACTGAGCCAAACAACAAGCACCCATGATGTTGAAGTGCCTTTGAGCAAGACTTAGCTGGGACTGACCTCTGACCTCCCTGTGCAGAGGGACAAGATATCATCTCTTCTGTGATCGCTGGAGTTTTACAAAAGAATTATAACTCTCATAAAATCCAGATAACACGTTGTACAAGCGTGACGGTCACTGAGCAGACGAGTATATTGTCGTTCTCTGCAGCCCATCAAAAGGAAACATCTGTAGTGTGTTGCTCACTCGCAAAACAGGCACAGTGTGCGTGAAGGGCCAAAAATCTGAATTAGGCCCTCCGATTGTACAGTACGCTAAACAAGCTCCAAGGTTACAGTTATCATCATATTGGGCTCCAGGAAGCTGGTGTTTGGGTCGGTGTGTGGATTTCAGCATGATCAGCACCAAAACTTCACCCTGAACAAACTGAGAAGATAAACACAGGGAATAAATAATACATGAAAACAAAAAACATGTGCAGCATTGTATGTGTTATGATATCAGTAGCTTTCCATTGATGTACTTTGCTTTAAACACTACATGTTTTTCAAAGAATGGGTTGTCTGTTTTTAGAGCAGACAAAAGCACTTTATATAATAATAAAAAAGAAAAAAAAAAAAAAAAAAAAAAAAAAAAAAAAAAAAACTGCGTTATGACATCATCTTTACTGGACAAAGTCCCCAGGGTTTTATGTCCTCTGTAGATACAGTATAATACATACAGTTAGCACTCCAAAGACCTACATCTTTCATTGAGGCTTCACCGTTACATCTTAAATTTTTCCTCTTTCTAGTTTTCCCAGTCTTTGATTTTCTTTCCTCTTTAACTTTCATCTCTCTCTTCCTGTACTTGGCTTAACGTTCTCTCTCCACGTCGTTCTGTCGCTGTCACACCAGGTGTACTTGTTCCTCCCACTCCTCAGGCGATTGGTCTCCCTCCAACTGGAGGATGAGGTCCAAGTCTCTCTCTGTGGTTGGGGCAGTGTGTGCGGGACTGTTTCCACGTTGGGAGTGCGAACACGGGTGTGTGTGCGCTTCGTCCAGCGACAGGTCAGATACACACCTCGCATCCGCACCCTCCTCGCCATTTTCTCTTTTTTCTAGCTCCAGAGTGCTGGGCCTCGACGTCTTCAGGCCCTCTGCACCTAGACAGGGACTCGCCGACCCTCTGTCTGCTTCTGGCTCGCCCTCCAGGGGCTGCCAGAGAGGGGCGGGGGTCATGTCCCTGGAGGTCTGGCTCTCTGACTCAGTCTCAGTGTGTGTGTCAGGGGAGGAGTCTGTTTCTGTGGTGGGCGGGGAGGGGATGAGGGCCAGGCTCTGGGGGTTGTTCTGGGGGTTAATGTTGTTGTTAAACCAGGCCATGATGTTGTCTAGCAGCTGGGCACTGGCTGTTGGGTCCAGGGGCTCCAGACTCTGAGGGTCACTGGGGGTGAAAGGGCCCCCTGGGGGGATCACCGGTGAAAGCAGCAGCTCCGGCTCAAGCTCTGGAGATGGGAGGCACAACTGGGCAAGGGGCTGGGGGTCTGACTTGGGCGGGCGTTCGAGAGCATAGGCGGCAGGACGCTCCTGGGTGTAGGAGCTACTGTGTTCGGGACAGGGGTTATAAGAGATGTCGGGTTTTGGGGTGCTGTCGTACATGACCAAGTGTTCCCGGTTACTTGAACTAGGATGGGCGGGGTTTTGGGTGCGTTCAAGTGAACAAGAGGCAGTGTGTTCAGCCTCAGCCAAATACCCACTGGAGTGGCAGTAACTGGGATCTGTAATGGTGATATGGTCAAGCACATATGGAGTGGTCAGTGCATTCTGGTCTGGTCTATGGCTGAAGTCGCTGTAAGCGGGTTCAATGGTGTAGGGAGCGTTGAGTGTACTGTGGTTGTATGTGTGGTGAGAGCAGAGCTGCTCCTGTGTGTGTGTGTCCAGGTCATAGGGAGTGGTTATGCTCCCCAGTTTCATAAGGCTGTCTCCCAGCTCCAGCAGCTCTGCACTGAGGGAGGGAGGAGGGGGAGGGAGGTGGAGGGAGTTTGACATGGGAGGCTGTGAGGTGGAGTCTGTCCTGTTAGGGGGGCGAGGAGGACCTAGGAGAGAAGTGGGGTAGGAGGAGCCTCTGGCTCCTGGAGGACCGTCCGTGTTGAGAGACTGCAAAGCGACATCGCCCAGATCGCCCGAGGGTCGCCGCATCCTCTCCGGTCCACAGTTCAGCTCCACTCTCCCCTCCGTCCCTCCCTCCTGGCCTCCCTCCAGGCCTCCCTCCAGGCTTCGCTCTCTGCGAGACTCCTGAAGGGACAGCTGGATGGCCAGCAGGATGTTTGGATCATCTTCATCCAGCAAGCCCAGCACTCTTCTGCGGCCCTCACTTCTTTCTGGGTTTTCTGGAACATGAAATATCACATTAAAGTCAGGACTGCTTTGTGAAGCTTGATTACAAATTGATCCCAGTGATCAACGCCTCCGTGTGCGTCGACCAAACTGGCTTCATGGAGCAATAACTTAAAATCCTATTTGCTGGTTGTCTGGTGTGCTGACAAGACAAAATGTATACATGGAGGCGAAGGATAGAGCTGGATTAGGATCCGGAGTTTTCCACTATAGGTGCTATAAGTAAATGACTATATTCTGTAGTGAGGTCTTTGCCAGACCTGTGTTGTCACTCCTCCTGCTGGTCTCTGGTGTGTTGCTGCTGCTTCTAAGGTTGTGCAGACTCAGCATGTCTCCTCTGCGCCGTGGTCTGTGTCTACGACGGTACTGGATGTCAGCATAATCCTGCAAAGAGTCATTAAGGCTGGGTTACGAAAAAAAAAACAACAACTCTAAAAGCATCTATTCTGTATCAAACAGGTGCAAAATCTTCAGCACAGAAATACTGCATTCAGGCCATGCATATGCACAAAACAGCAGAAACTATGGTGCATTACCTGTGACTGTCTCTCTCTCTGATCTCCTGCTGCCAGTACAGAGTGACGACTCCCCATCTTAACACACATAAGCAAACTAAGTCAGCTGCAGCCGTAGTCATGCATTTAGATGACCTCATACTGAAGTAGGTCACTAAGTGCAGGTTTAGGGAGTACCATTAGCTGGACAAACCAAACAGTTAGCAGAACAGAAGTTAGTGTTTCGGTGTATGGTGCGACAGTTTACCTCAGGGGAGGCAAAGCCAAGGTACTCCCAGTCCCACGATCCTCCAGGGTAACTGAAACAAACACAAGAGTGTTTGCTCATGGTGTCATACATGAAGAATAACTTGAATTTAATTTTCAGTTTCAAATATTTCCACTTTGTCTTCTTCATCCCCGCCAGTGGGAGGATGATGAAGCAGAACAAACCCATGTACTGTTTGAGTATGTGGGAGTGCGTTTGTCATTACCTTCTGCGGGGAGGATCAGGAGAGTCGTTGGGCGCGACGCCTCGGGCCACTGATGCCAGGAATTCTTGCCTCTTCTGCTGCACCAGACGCGCTGCACTGATTATCTTGTGGCAGGGAGTCCTCAGGTACGGCCGGTTGACCTTCTGGGCCAGATCCTCCACAACCATCTCCAGGTCTGTCTGAGAAGACACAAAACCGACAGGCTAACTTCCATCTGCTCAGAGACAGGAAATTCAAATTGCCACTCATATTCAACTTCTACTATTAAGACAAGACATGAGTGGAGTGTGTTTTGAGTGTTTTCTATCTCACAGGAGATATCATCCAATAGTATAACTAATGACTACAATCTCATTATTCTGTGTGACTCAAAGAAAACATGTCAAGTCACTGCAAGTGAGCCAAATTATGAGTATCTTATAAAAGGAAATGCTTGTTATTTCTTGAACAATGTTGCAAATGAGTTTATGGATTAGTAGTAAGAATACAAAACATTAGTTGAACAGGGATGTTAAAATATCAAAAACACAGATTATAAACTGCACCAAGACTATAAAATGTGGTATGTTGAGGAGAGCTTTGTGCAAAATGTCTGAAGAACATTAATTATAGACAGTTAATGAATAACCGAATAGGATTTAGTTAACTTGTCGTTTTGCACCAATCGTCTAGCATGAACATCAAGCCAAAATACAAATCTGTCTGTTAGAAATACAAAACCTAGTGGTCAGATTGCCACAGAATTCCCTAACAGTACTTTGTTTTTCCTAACCAGTTCAGTGGTGAGCACAGCAGGGGATCACTGGAGGGGCTTTAACGTCGTCAGTATAGTGTTGTACCTGCATTAGCTCAAATATCTCTTTCTGGGTGCTGCCTTGCTGCAGGAAGAAGCCGTATGGGTAAGAGCACTTTAGGACGCGTCGCGTCTTCAGCAGCTCACTCACACCGTCCTCAATGAAACGCGTGTCTGGAGGAGTTCCTTCACCTGGACGAAACAAGCCAGTATTATAATGCAGATGGGATGAATGTATTATGATCGTAAACAAAACGCTCCGTCACCTTGTATCATATAGGAGAGACTTACGGCAAATGAAGGCTCTGCTGAGCTGCTCCATCTTCTCTTTGGCTGTTTTTAGCAATTTCTGCTCCAACTAACAGACAAGAGGAGAGAAAGGATCATTCCAACATTAAATGATCATCAGATTGTAACGTATGTCTCAAGGAGCGTTTAAGAAATTCAGCGTTGCATTGCTATAAACGTGTGTTTACAGTTGGAGCGTGCATTACCTTATAACTGTGTTCATGGTTCTTGAAGCGAGTATAATAATGCATAAAACGATCCAGCTCCTGAAAACTTTTGTGCTTCTTTTCTGCCTGTAACAAAAAGAGACTTGATTTCACTCACACGGCTTGGTGTGTGTTTCGGTGTATGCGAGTACATTAAATTTCTGCAGAGCACATCCCCATGAGCTTCAATAATGTATCATCTGACAGGTGATGGGGTAGTTGTTTTGGATTGTGCACGTGTGTGTCAATACCTCCACAGTCATCTCCTTGGACTGCTCCTCCAGCTGTTGGATGACCTCATAGCGAGTACAGCGATAGTAGCCTCCTGTTGACGAGCTGTGCTTCTTCCACTCCTCCAGACAGATCCAACAGAAGTCATACTTGCACTGCAGATAGAGAGAGGAAGAGAAACTGTTTTATACTTCTAACCAAACTGCAGTAAGTAATGAAATTATTTAGTATCTAAACAAATGATGACACACAGCTGACAGGCAGATAAATGTGTATACCTTGGCACACTGCATATGGTTGCATCCCTCATTCTTCTGAATGGGCGACTTGCAGTTGGCACATGGTTTTGAGTTGGTCAACAGCCACAGGCAGTTAGCAGCATCCTCATAGGCCTCACTCACACCTGCCACTGTGGAAAGCGTGCACACACACACAAACACGCACACACACACATTAGCAACCTTTAAATTGGCCAACACTTGCCCTGCAGACACACACAAATATCCATGACCTGAACACCCGTCACTACGTGATAAAAATATATTAGACACATCCCGGTAGGCCGTCTGACAGCTGCTGTTAACTGCCTCGTTGTGGCGTCAGCTTACGGAGGTGCAGCTAAAATTATCCCCCGGTAACACACAAAGACAGACTTACACTCCTCAGGCTTCATCTCTGTAACTTTCTGGAGCCAGTTCCTCCACATATGACAGTCACATGGCTCATGGGCCTCACCAAGGCACTCCCTGCAGACAGGGAGGGTGATAAACTGTTAATGAGGTGCAATAAAATACAGAGAATTGAGACTGAAGCCGTAATAAGCAATAATTCTTAGAAACGGAAGCAAAAAGGGAAGAGAAAGAACGTTTTTAGGTCAACAGCTGTGTTGAGTGTGCAAGTATGTGTATAGAGCCATGGATAAATCACGAAGTGTACCAGCAGAAGAGGTGACCCTTGCCACAATCGACGGCTGGGGAGGGCAGCAGGGGGAAACTGTGTGGGTCACTGTCCCCGGGGCCTGGTCGGGTGAGCCGCACCGCCCGCTCACAGCGTGCTGCAGGACACCATCGGATGGCCGGATTGTTCTCCACAAATGCCTGCAATAGGGAGGGAAGGAGAGGAGAGAGAGAGATGGGACTCAGATACATTATGGAGCATATAGAAGGAGGAAGAGAACACAGACAGGCAAGAGGGAATGTACAGAACAGAAATGATTGGGAAATGCCAAAAAAACAGGAAGAAACAAACAGAAACAAAAGACAATTTCGGACAAATATGCAGCAAGAAAACGGACAAACACTAAATTTAGAGTTGGATGAAAAGCATTTCTTTAGCTGTGGTGAGCCTGAATGAGAACATGAACATCAATATCTGTATGGATGTTCATTTCTACCTTAATGTCAAACTGTAGAAATCGCTGGTCCATCTCCCTGGAAACTACACTTTCTATCACATGCACCGGCACCAGCTGGTAGCACTCGTAGGCCGGGCAGAAGATGTTGTGTGCGTCCCCCTCCTGAATCTTTACATTGAGGAACCTGAGAGACACACAAATGCATACACAGGACAATTGATCCCTAAATGCTCAAACACACTGAAGTATGCAGGAACATCTACACTCACACACAAACAAGGGACCCCTTACCCTTCCCAGCATGCTCTGCAGAACTCGTGTCCACAGGACATGTCCACTGGATCCTCAAACACGGAGATAGAGCAGAGACAGATTCCACACTGCAGGGAGCCAGGAGATAAAGACACTAAATTATATGACAGTGAACAACAGTAATCCCTCATTATCAACTAATGCATTCCATTCACAAAAGTAGGTTTAAAAAAAAAAAACTAAAAAAAAACATGTTTTCTGCATCTTTAAGAGTTCATTTAAACACTGATGCCAGTTAAAAAGGTTTAAAGTCATCACTAAGTGTGTCTCACCGAAGCCAGGCCCTCCTCTCCAGGTGTGAGGCAGCTGTCAGTCGGAGAGGTGAGGGTGAGTGTGAGTGGTGAGCGTGGGGTCCTGGGGGTGCGAGGTGAGGGGAGGGTGTCCCAGGCATTGTACCCGCTGGGTGGGGGGGTGGGCATGGTCACTCCTGAGCGCTGGCAGCAACCCTCAGCGTCTGACATCCAGGCTTCCAGAAGCTTTTCTCTGTCCCAGTCTGAGAGCGAGACAGAGACAGAGAGAAAGGTTAAAGACACATTTAGAGACGGGGAATACCGTTGTAATTCTCTCGAAATATTGCAATCGCAGTGCTGTGAGGGTTTGTGAAGGTCTGATGAATGTCAACTTCCACATACCGTGTGCTCGGAGCAGGGCCTCGGCAGTGAAGAGGGGGGCTTGCAGCATGTCTGCCGTCTCCACGATCAGCATGTCTTTCAGCCTGCGCAGATCCTGAAGTTTCAGTCCCTCATAAGGCTGAAATGTTCGGGAGGTACAGAAAGAGAGTGATGAAGGAAGAGGAAGAGAACGTTATTTAACAAAATCAAGGAAGTTTGTGACCTTTGAAGAGAGAAAAGGAAAATAGAAGATATTTTGGTATGTCTATAAAACATTTTTTTTCTGTAAATGCAATTTGATGAGACAATTAAAAAGACAAATACAACTGATTGACAAAAGAGCTGTGACACTGTTTACACAATAAAAGTTGGTAAACTTGTGGAAAAAGTTTACATTTTGTCAAGGATGTAAAATAAAGAGTAAAAGATGTGAGAATCTGCATGACAAAGTGACATCACATCACCAACAAACCAGCATGATAAATATCATCGATCATAAAAATACTTCCACGTTAAACTACAAAAATAAAATTTGAAAAAATGTAATAAACAGCGTACTCAATTGTTCCCAGGCGACATTACTTCAATAGTAAGATTTTGGAAAAAATGCTTATGTTTGGGAATTCATGCGTTTGGGAAGTACTGACGCATAAAAACAAAACAATTGTCTTCAATGTCCAGCCAGCAGGAAACCCCCAGATCTGGTGACTGTGGTCTCACCTCCTTGTACTGCAGCAGGTTGGTTTCACCACGTGCGTCTGTGTTTGACTGCTGAGCCGAAGAGGAGGAGAAAACCATCTGTGACTCCAGGCTGAGGGCCAGCTCGGTGTGGTGATGCCGCTCGGCATGGTCACATGGCGTCAACTTGTCCTCGTCCTCCACAAAAAGGTCTGCATCGCTCTGGATTAGCAGCTACAGGGAGGGGAGGAGAGACGAGACGACAAAAGGAATGGGAGGAAAAAAAAAAAAAGGAGAGAGGTGGATAATGGAGAGGAACAAGAAATTGAAGGAACTTGCAACAAAAGAGAACAAAAGGAAACAAGACGTTTGAGCGAGTGGAGCAGACAAAGAGAAAACAGGAGGAAGGGGACAAAAGAGAAAGATGCGATGGCAGAAAAGAAATATAAGAAAAGGGAAATAGGCAAGGAAGGCAAGGCAGGAAGCACAACTTGAATCTGACAGTAATGAAACACAAAGCAGATGCTCTTGAAGCAGTTACTGATCTTACTGCCTCTAAAACCCAATCACAAAGACAGATCTGGCTCCTCCCTAATGTGAGCTTTGCTTCCAGAGGGGTCCACACACGCGCACACACACACACACACACACACACTTCCTCTCACCTCCACACAGCTCTTCATGCCTGCAGCGGCAGCATAGTGCAGACAGGTGCTGTGGTGATTGTCGGTGGCGTTGACGTTGGCCTTCTCGTACTGGCCTCCCTCCAGCCTGGCACCGGTCCAGCTAAGGATCATCTGGCAGCAGGAAGAACGAACCCACAAATACACACACGCGACATTATTTTGTACGTCAACTTGGTTAAATACACTTTTTTTTTTTTTCACATCCACGTGTAAGTTAATCGGTGTGTTCATACCTGCAGACAGTCGGCGCGACGCTGCTCGTCCCTCTGGGGTCGGGCCAGTCGTGGCGACAGCGCTCCCTCCGGCAGCAGCAGGATCTGTGGGCCTTGGCACAGCACGTGGAGGCACGTCTCGTTGTGCACGTTGCGCTTGTTGGGGTTCCCCTCTTTACTGAACAGGAAGGACCTACACAACGTAGAAGAAGGAATAAGGACACAACAGAGTTCAGAAATGAGTTGAGGAGGGGAGACAGGACTGACGGCAACAGAAAGAAGGCTTTAATTAGAGGGTGAAAGGGAAGGTGAGAGAGAGACAGATGTGGAGGAAGGACGACATGGAGGCATGAGTGGCGATGACAGGAGGATGAAGAATGGTAGTGAGATGAGCTTGGTGGGTAAGAAGAGTAGAGAGAGGGAGGAGAAGAAAGACGGCAGAATATTGACTATTTCTGTTTCACATCTCGGAAATAATGGACCTGCTGGCTGGCGGGTGCGCACACACACGCGCACAGATGGTGATGGATGTTCCAGTTGCACTGAGAGCTTGGCTGTGGTTGCAGTTCTGTTTAGTAAATAGTTGGTCTGTCAAAATCTCCATTTACTGATTAGCTTTCAACTCTTTCATTTGGCTCCACTTCCATCTGTCCGTTTCTATCCTATACTTGCTTTCTTTTCTCCTCCTCTACAATATCCTATTTTGTTGTCTTTTGTCTTTCTTTAACCTGACATCCTTTTCTACATTGTCCTAATGCAGCTGCATGTTAAACTGTAGAGAAAAACCGGTTTCTATCAGTGGTATGACATGAATAGCTGAAAGGACCATCTCACAAATAATAGGATGTAGGGATTTCCATTGGTTCAATGTACACAAAAACACAGTAAAAACCCTCTGCCTCTCTGCTCCCTTTGCAGTCGCCACTATTAAATGTGTTTGAATGGTTCCTTACTGTGCAGCCTAGTCTTCCACCGCTGTCCTGCTCTTCCACTTCTGACCTTCTTATCCTGTCAGCCACGAGCCCCTGAAGCCTCCCCTAATGACAGTCTACTGCCAATTCACCCACACAGCAATAATCACTAATTATTCCCCTTTCAACCACAAACCAGTCACCCCCCAC